TTAAGTAACATGTTTTAGTACATGGATTTCAAGCTTTGCAGAAACTGACCTTAGCTCTATGCTCAATGTTGGCCTTTCTGTCCACCAGTAAACTGACCACCTCGTGGCGACCTTGGAAACATGCCAACGTGAGGGCAGTGTTACGGTTAGTTTCAATCTAATGGATAAGAAAACAAAGAAGATTACATGTAAAGCTGCATAAACATTCCAGACCAATGTTTTGTATTGTTCTGGCAAGTAATGATATCAATTATATTTTTCATTAAGGTTTTTTTCAGCAGAAAAAAAAATCACTTTTTTCCACCAGCAATAAATACGAAATATGCAAAATCACAACTTTTAAATACTTGCCTTTATAATTTTTGAATGGGAAATAATTGGGTAATATATTTTAATTTTCATTTAATTGCTTTTTTTTTCAAAATGAAACCACAATGAAATATATAAAACCACAACTTTTTAAAATTAATAAATAAACACTAATGACATTATTATACCCACGAAGACTTACCTGGGCATTTATGTCACTTCCCATGTCTAGTAACAACTTGACTGCTGCAGTGTGGCCATTCATGGCAGCTAACATCAAGGGGGAAATGCCTAGCTTACTGCCAGTCCTAAATAAAGCAAAAATTAACCTATATAAATAACCTTATATCAGAGTAACATGTTTTCTGCCAATTATCTCTTTTTCTTTGTCTGACATTAAGAATATCTTTATAGTGTTGTACAAGAATGGTGTCACTGTATTATAGTAACAATATCAAATAATTAAGTAAATATTATTATAAACATCAATGTATCTCTTTTGAAGAACTAGACTTAAAACTGAATTTTTAAGTTATTTAAAAACAAACCAGTTTACCACACAACAGCTGTTTAAAGCTGTCTTGAAAAATCATATCAAGATCTTTGGTTTTTCACAAAACTGATGATACACATTTTAGAGAACATCCAGTTGCAAATACTGACCTCTGCATCAAAGAATACATAACAACTACATAACATTACCACTGAAAATAAAATAATCAAATTCTATCTGTTCTCGAATTAAATACACAATCATGAACATTTTTAACTGCTGTTATACATTCATTTTTCTTTTACGGGAAAAGAGACTACAATTCATGCATAGTCTACCTGGAGTTAATCTCTGCCCCGTGACTAAGCAGTAGCTTAATGATGTTGACATATCCCCCAGAGGCAGCCAGACTGAGTGGGGTGTAGTCAGAGACATTGCGGTGTTCCTTGTTTGCTCCTCTGGCCAGCAGTAATTCCACAACCTGAAAAACAAATACTTCTGTCTGTAAAAAATTATCGCTAAGTCCTGTTTTGCTTTCTGATGTGAAGGGCAACAACACTGCCCTGACACATTATTTTCAAATTCTTCAAATTTTTCCTGAAGTGGATTTCTATTTCAAGTGTCTTTTTCTTGAGGTAAAGATTCTGCATCAAAATTCAGATGAAAGCAAGATCACTAGAGGCTGGATTTGACCATGAATTTGAAAATAAAGCACTACTGTCTTTTAATGAAATAGTCATGAAGTTAGTAAAATGCTCAGCATAATAAAATCTCTTCTTCATAATCTAAGGGAGTGTTCCCATAACCCTATGGTACTAGCTGGATTCTCACTTAATTGCATTCAGTTTAAGCTGCTTAAATGTCTGGCACATTTCTTCATAACTAAATTACTTGGGTTAAGTCGGGAAGACTTTGTGGTCTATGATGTTGTTCATGTTGCTTTGCAAGGGGGCCTGCCAGACAATTAAGCTGGTTACAATGACTGCACCTTAGTGAGTCCCCGCCAAGTTGGATCATTCCTGCTAGTATGGCAAGGTCATGGGAACACATTCTAACAATCTAGGTAAGAACAAAGTTTAAGTCATTTTGAGCTCACAGCCCATTTTCTGTACCTCATATCTTCCTCCAGAACAAGCTAAAGACAGAGGGGTGTCTTTGGTTCTCTCTGATTGTGCCTCTATGTCTGCTCCATGATTGAGTAGTATCTCAACTATTTCTGCATGACCTGCAGTTGCAGCCAGTATCAATGGGGTGAAACCTATGAAAAGACAATGAAACATGTATTTATAATTGTGCCAAAAATGGCTATGTAATTGGTAAGGCCATATTTTAGGTAAAATACTGATGAAAATTGTATCATATATAATTAATCTTGTTGAAATTATGTGACATGCACAAGCAGTTTCTTCAAACCTAAACCTCCTTTTATTCTATAAACTTATTTTGTTACAGCTTTAATAAGCAAATAGACAAAAATGAAATTATTACCTTTTTTATCTCTGTGTTCAATGTCTGCACCTCTGGACAACAACAGGCTGACCAGCTCAGCGTGTCCACCAGCACAGGCCAGAGTGAGGGCAGTGTCATGATTACTCTCTGTCTGGGCATCCAGGTCAATCAACGGGTAGATAGGTGGCGTCACATGTGGTGAGGCAGGCGATGGATTGGGTGTCATGGGAAGCGATCCAAGAGGGGTATTCATGTCAACAGAAGCAGCAGAAGTCACTGCATTGATTGTGTTGTACTCGTTGGTTAGTTGTTGATTCTGATGCAACAACTGCTGCTGCTGTTGTAAAAGCTGCTGCTGTTGCTGTTTCAGCTTCTTATTTTTCTTCTGGATGTTCTGCAAATTGACTTGCTGCTGTTGTTGAAGGGCTTCCAATTGTTGCTTCAGAAGTTGTTGTGCTTTTATCTGGTCCTCGGGGCTCATGTGCTCAGAGTAGGCACTGAGGGCCTCGGCATACTGGTTCAGGATCTGTTGCTGGGTCTGATACTGCTGTTGATCAAATGGTGGTGGGTAGCTGTCTGTGGAGCTGGACACTTCATACTCAGCTGAAAAAGACATATAATACATTTCACAGGTGGCANGTTGCGAGTTTTTGTACAGTGCGTCAGATAACGAAAAGCCCAGAATGGCACACATAGTGGATATAAATGCATTTTTTAACAAAAAGACGAATATATCTCATGAATCTTATATAGTGTTGTTCTTGTCTGCTTTTCCTGCGGTTTTAAGTAGGTCACCAGTGACTTTGCAGTGTCAGAGAGAGCTCCGTCAGTTTAAATCTCTTAAGAGATTTTAACAAAAAACCGTACGTTTAGGAAAAAAACCCTGGATTAACTTTGAATGCAGGAATGGGGTCGTTGGCCATTGGTAAGTACGGGAAAATTGCCGTTTTTTCCAGGAAAATCCAATTTTTGGCCAAAACGAAGAGTTATTATGACTTTAAGCTTTTTTTCAGCAGAAAAAAATCACTTTTTTTCCCCAGCAATAAATACAAAATATGCAAAATCACAACTTTTAAATACTTATCGTTATAATTTTTGAATGGGAAATAATAAGGTAATATATTCTTAATTTTCATTTAATTGCTTTTTTTTCAAAATGAAACCACAATGAAATATATGAAACCACAACTTTTTTTAAAGAAATTAATAAACACTAATGACATTACTATACCCATGAAGACTTACCTGGGCATTTATGTCACTTCCCATGTCTAGTAACAACTTGACTGCTGCAGTGTGGCCATTCATGGCAGCTAACATCAAGGGGGAAATGCCTAGCTTACTGCCAGTCCTAAATAAAGCAAAAAAATAACCTATATAAATAACCTTATATCAGAGTAACATGTTTTCTGCCAAATATCTCTTTTTCTTTGTCTGACATTAAGAATATCTTTACAGTGTTGTATAAGAATGGTGTCACTGTATTATAGTAACAATATCAAATAATTAAGTAAATATTATTATAAACAAATAAACATCAATGTATCTCTTTTAAAAAACTAGACTTAAAACTGAATTTTTAAGTTATTTATAAACAAACCAGTTTACCACACAACAGCCGTTTAAAGCTATCTTGAAAAATCAAATCAAGATCTTTGGTTTTTCACAAACTGATGATACATATTTTAGAGAACATCCAGTTGCAAAAACTGACCTCTGCATCAAAGAATACATAACAACTAAATAACATTACCATTGAAAATAAAATAATCTATCAGTTCTTGAATTAAATACACAAACATGAACATTTTTAACTGCTGTTATACATTCATTTTTCTTTTACGGGAAAAGAGACTACAATTCATGCATAGTCTACCTGGAGTTAATCTCTGCCCCGTGACTAAGCAGTAGCTTAATGATGTTGACATATCCCCCAGAGGCAGCCAGACTGAGTGGGGTGTAGTCAGAGACATTGCGGTGTTCCTTGTTTGCTCCTCTGGCCAGCAGTAATTCCACAACCTGAAAAACAAATACTTCTGTCTGTAAAAAATTATCAGTAAGACCTGTTGTGCTTTCTGATGTGAAGGGCAACAACACTGCCCTGACACATTATTTTCAACTTCTTCAAGTTTTTCCTGAAGTGGATTTCTATTTCAAGTGTCTTTTTCTTGAGGTAAAGATTCTGCATCAAAATCCAGATGAAGAAAGATCACTAGAGGCTGGATTTGATCATGAATTTGAAAATAAAGCGCTACCATCTTTTAATGAAATAGTCATGACGTTAGTAAAATGCTCAGCATAATAAAATCTCTGCTTCATATTCTAAGGGTGTGTTCCCATAACCCTATGGTACTAGCTGGATTCTCACTTAATTGCATTCAGTTTAAGCTGCTTAAATGTCTGGCACATTTCTTCATAACTAAATTACTTAGGTAAAGTCGGGAACACTTTGTGGTCCATGATGTTGTTCATGTTGCTTTGCGAGGGGGCCTGCCAGACAATTAAGCTGGTTACATAGACTGCACCTTAGTGGAGTCCTCGCTGAGTTGGATCATTCCTGCTAGTATGGTAAGATTATGGGAACACATTCTAACAATCTAGGTAAGAACAAAGTTTAAGTCATTTTGAGCTCACAGCCCATTTTCTGTACCTCATATCTTCCTCCAGAACAAGCTAAAGACAGAGGGGTGTCTTTGGTTCTCTCTGATTGTGCCTCTATGTCTGCTCCATGATTGAGTAGTATCTCAACTATTTCTGCATGACCTGCAGTTGCAGCCAGTATCAATGGGGTGAAACCTATGAAAAGACAATGAAACACGTATTTATAATTGTGCCAAAAATGGCAATGTAATTGGTAAGGCCATATTTTTAGGTAAAATACTGATGAAACTTGTATCATATATGATTAATCTTGTTGAAATTATGTGACATGCACAAGCAGTTTCTTCAAACTTAGCTCTCCTATTATTCTATAAACTTATTTTGTTACAGCTTTAAGCAAATAGACAATAAAAATGAAATTGTTACCTTTTTTATCTCTGTGTTCAATGTCTGCACCTCTGGACAACAACAGGCTGACCAGCTCAGCGTGTCCACCAGCACAGGCCAGAGTGAGGGCAGTGTCATGGTTACTCTCTGTCTGGGCGTCCAGGTCAATCAACGGGTAGATAGGTGGCGTCACATGTGGTGAGGCAGGCGATGGATTGGGTGTCATGGGAAGCGATCCAAGAGGGGTATTCATGTCAACAGAAGCAGCAGAAGTAACTGCATTGATTGTGTTGTACTCGTTGGTTAGTTGTTGATTCTGATGCAACAACTGCTGCTGCTGTTGTAAAAGCTGCTGCTGTTGCTGTTTCAGCTTCTTATTTTTCTTCTGGATGTTCTGCAAATTGACTTGCTGCTGTTGTTGAAGGGCTTCCAATTGTTGCTTCAGAAGTTGTTGTGCTTTTATCTGGTCCTCGGGGCTCATGTGCTCAGAGTAGGCACTGAGGGCCTCGGCATACTGGTTCAGGATCTGTTGCTGGGTCTGATACTGCTGTTGATCAAATGGTGGTGGGTAGCTGTCTGTGGAGCTGGACACTTCATACTCAGCTGAAAAAGACATATAATACATTTCACAGGTGATATGCTATAAATAGATTTAAGCTAATCTAATAAATGTCAAATCTGCAATATTTTTAATTCTTTAACAAAGTTGAATATAGCTTGACATAGGTTTATTCTATTCTTTTTAAATGTCACTCAAAATATTTCTAAAAATTAAATAGGAGATTCAACCTTTATATCCTGGGATAGAAAAGAGAACATTAAAGAAAACAGATTAACAGATTTACCTTCTAGGCTTGCTGTTAGTTGTTCTTCTCCAATAGGACCTTCTCTGTAAGCTACATGAGGAAAGTCTGGGTTTTCTGTAGCAGCTTGCATGGGAAAGTCACTAATCTCTGCTGTATCTTTCCCATCCACACTGTCCCCAACATAACTGGGATTTTCTGACTTAAACTGTTGATCCCCTTCAACTAGATCATTTCTATTTTTCTCCTGTGTATTTATGGATGAGGCACCATCATCCAAGAAGGGCTGGTCTGGCAATTCACTTGGAAGGGGTATCTTATCCAATGGTATATCTTTGGTATCATTTTCCATATCAGGAACATTTTCGGACTGATGAACATCAGGTTCCCTGAATGAGCAACTACTACTGGAACCCTCTGCATTTCTCACAACTTCCAAGTCGTTTTCAATATTTTCAATAATATCCCCACCAGCCTTTTCTTGGTCACTGTCCGACCCAAGCCCTATTTCTACTATTTGGATGTTTTTATTTTTTTCTTTCTGCTGACTGGCTTCTTTTTTAGCTTCAAGCTGATTTTGTAAAGCAATATGCAAGGGGAGGGGAGACCGCTGCTTTTGCTGCTGGGCTAAATGCTGAGCACCTACTTTTTGCTGTGCTTGCTGAAGTTGTTGTTGCTGAAATTTTATCTGCTCTTGTAATTGCCTGTTCAATTCCTGTTGCTCTTCCTGTTGTTTCTGCATCTGCTGTTGTCTCAGTTGCTCTTGAAGCTGTGCTTGAAGTTGCTGCTGAAGTTGTTGTTGTAGCTGGTGCTGTTGAAGCTTCTGCTGATACTGTTGCTGAAGCTGCTGCAGTCGTTTCTGATACTGCTCTTTCTCTTGAAGCAATTTTTGATGCTGTTGTTGCTGTATCTGCCTCTGCCTTTCCAGTTCCTGGTGCTGAAGCTCATGTATCTGCTGCTCCAATTTTTGCTGATTTTCAGACTTCTGGGCATTCAGCAGTAGCTGGGCCTGGGCTTTCTCCTGGAGCTCCCTCTCAACTTTCTGGAGCTCTTCTAAAATCTGCTGCTTTTTCAAAATCTGCTCCTCACGGGTTGTGTTTAACAACTCTGCTTTTTTCATCATTTTATTAATGAAAACCTCCAGCCGTTCACTTGGCTTAAGATCTGGATTATCCTCCAGATCAAAATCTTCTGCTGCATCACTCTCAACCTGCACAGTTTCACTATAATTCTGATCATATTCATAAAACTCATCATCAGAGTCTCCAGAAGTAGACGGATTCCCTCCTCCGCTGCTACCCCCACCCTGTCTTTCAGGCTGACTCTCCTTCTGTGCCCATCGACGTAAGCTTTTTGTTAAAGATCGCTGCATGTTGTGACGTATCTGCTCATGAGTGCGCCCTGTGATGTTGAAATCTTTAAGATTCAATTCCCCAGGGGTGGCAGGAACATTGGGGGTGGTGGCTGTGGCGACCTGGGGTATCACTACTTGGTCTGGGTCCTGGGGTGGCACTACATTGCTCAACCCATGCATGGGAACCCTTGGTGGCTATAAACAATTATAATAGGGGTGGGCAAATGAAAGCTTTTTTGGGAAATTTAATTTCAGACAAGTGGATTCTATGGCCATTTTGCCTGCTGAATACAAATCTAATAAGTATTTTCATTTTAAATTACATCTGATATTGGTATCAAGTGATTTTTCAAAATGGCCACCAAACGCCCCCTCAAATCACATATTTCTCATGTAAATCTTTAAATATCAGTTCAAAGATGGCTTGTTATATGTCTAACCATATGATTTCATGATCAATGAGCGCAAATAGATACATCATTTCGGTTGGGTCACTTCATTTTGGGTTAAAAAGAGGATTTTTTGGTCATTTTGAGGTAAAAATCACCCCAAAATCACCATTCCTGTGTACATTAATACAAATGTTTATAAAACATGCACCTGTGGCTTTTAAGTTAGGAAAAACAATATTACAACAAATATGGTCAATATTGTTCAAAGATCACATGAAACTGAAAAGTTTTGACATATAGAATAGGCATAATGTTAGTTACATACGGGAATATTTACAGTAGAACACTCAGTAGCAGAGCATCAAGGATATTGTTACTCTTTATTACCATCCAGATACCGAAAATGAGTTTTTTCCTGTATCTAATTATTCAATGATGTATCTGTCTTTGTGCTGCTTTGAAACAATGAACAAACTCTTGAAAATATGAAAAATCGGCGTTTATATTTTTTCGTTGCAATGTATAAGCATAAGCAACTCAAAGCTTTAATCATCTATTTAACAGCTTTCCTTTTTGAGATTAGTTAACAATCCATATGGGGCTTAACTTCATCCCTGAACAAGATTTTATCACGAAAATTGGCCAATGTACCACAAGGGCATGAGCTACAATCCCATGCCAACTTTTTGGTTTAAATGCTTTTGTTATGGAGTTATGAGTCCGTAATGACTGATCTTCTAAAAACAAAGGTATTACTTTGCTTTATCAACGATCAAATCTGAACTAAGGCTTTAAAAAATCGCTGGCAGGGTTTTGGGGTACTAAATGGTGTCATTAAATTGGCTTTGAAATAGTGATCACGGGTGTTCAGGTAAAACAGAAATCTGAGAAACCAATTTTTTAGTTTTTACCCCCAAACTGCAATTATGCCGTCACCCGTACGATGACATGTGTAAATGTTAATTAATGTAATCACTGAACACTGAAAATTTATTTATCACCGAAAAGAATGTATGTAAGGCAGTAAATAAGGAATTTTGGGTGAACGGTGACGATATCCTTATTATCTTCATTTATAACCTAGTCACACTAGAGGCGGAATGAGCTAGAATGTAGTCGGAATGAAAATGTCTTGTTTATTCCTGGATATTTGAAGTATCTAAAAATTCTAAGCGCATTCTAAATGTTTGGGTCCATTCTTGCGTCCTGTTAAAATGTTTTGCTCATTCTCAAAACTTTCGAAGTGCATTGCAAGTGGAAAAATATCGAATGGCATTCAAGTGTATTCTAACTCCACTATGAGCGCATTCTTAGATTCTTACGAAATTCCAACAGCATTCGAAACATTTTGATCACATTCAAGGGAGAACCGAAATGGCAAGGCGCTTCAAATCTTGTCAGAATGTTCCACATTGTGCCTCCAATGAGCAGGAATGCAACTCGAATGCATCTTGATTGCAGGCCAGAATTCAGCCAGCAATGAAACCACACTTGTATGGCATTTGAAGTGCATTCTAAATATTCTCACTATATTTAGACAGCATTAACGATATTCCTTATGTGTTCCAACTACATTCGAGCTGTATTTGAGATCTAATACAATACAACCAAAATGTGCACGAATCATTCCAGGTGGGTTCGAAGCGCATTTTGAGGTATTCTTACTGGAATTAAGGTCAATTTGATATTACCCAACGAATGTCGCGCGAATTTTGAAAATTCTTCATTATGGCTCATTCTGCTTGATTACTTCAGATTCCAAATAAGTGTGACAGGGGGCTTTACAGTGCCTTCTGGTTTCAGTGTATTTCTTGTTGATGCTTTCATGGTGGTGGTGAGATACCCTTAAACTACGGAACTGAAACTAAGTACTATTCCAAGGTCAAGAGCTTAGAGGTTGTAAGAGGTTGATGTCACCTGACAAAGTTTTACCTGTTCTGAAGAAAAGGAAAATTATACAGCATAAAATTTGTTGGTACACATCCATGAAGGTATTTTCAGCATTGTTTTTATACCAAACTGTAATCCATAAATTCAGTATGTAGCCTACATAATGGCCATTATTTATATTTATCTCAGGCTCGAAGTGTGAATTTTATGTATATGTTTGTTTTAAATAACATATTTTTACAGATGTCACCCTAACAATATTGTCAATGTCTTGAATATGCTCATATTTGAATTCAGCAACCCTCAAAACATATAGAAAGACATATTACACATCATTTTTATGTACTTTACTGTGAAAATATGGCCAAAAAGCCATTTCCCGCCTTTTTTCACAAACAAATAGCAGATACTAATATAAATCTTTAGCTTTGGTAAAAAATATTGTCAGATTTGTGTTCAGCAGCAAAAATGGCCATAGAATCCACCTGTTTTAAAAATTTTTTGTCATTTGCCCACCCCTAATTATAACCAAAGAATTATCATGAGGATCCACATAATTTTAGCAACTATGGAAATGAAAGCACACAATAAGTTCAGATGAACATCTCATAGTAAGTTTCTGCGAGTTAAAATCTGTAAACCATCTTTACTGAACAGATGTAAGGCCATGTGCTGAATGATTTTAGCATAAACCACTCTAATTCTAATGTGAGAAATAAATGACTCCTTGGAACACAAATACATAGTTTTTCTCTTTAATACAATATCCCTCTAGTGTAATGACCAGGGAATTTCACATTGATCACAAAGTAGGAGTTTTCATTGCATCTACTTTTTGAAATCAGAACTAAAATGGCCCTTGCAAAAACCTTCAATACACTGCCCCCCCCTCAAAAAAAAAAAAAAAAAAAAAAAAAAAATAATAATAATAATAATAATAATAATAAATAAATAAATAAATAAATAAATAAAAAACATACCAAATCCTGGAGATATTCGATTATGCTATCAGTATCCCTACCTCAGCAAACTCATTGCTCTGAGTGTCCGGTGACTGTGACAGCGAGGTTGGGGAAGAGGTGATACACCTTGGAAAGTCTATCAACAGACTGACCACGGAGGTGTGCCCACCTTTGGAGGCCTCGATCAATACCGTAGACCCATCCTAGAAAGAACAACCCAAAGCCTTTGTTACAGTTTTGGACATCGATAAAAAACAACCAAGGAAAGGTTGTTTTTAATGTTAGCTGACTTGTATGGTTCTAAAAGCCATGTGAGGGGAAATGCATAGAGACCATTATACAGGTAAAACTTTTAAGTCTTAGGATAAAGATTTAAACTTCATTAAAGAGGAATAACATCTTTATCAGTGCAATGTTTAACTTAAGTTAGCTACATTACTAAATTCTTCAGTTCCTTAGATGTTGGAGTGGTAATATATCCAATTTTAAGCTGTGTTTGCAATCTGTTATTGTGTATGTGAGAGCATAACACAGCTGATGGAGTGCTTTAAACACTAAAAGTTAAAGTTTAAAAAGGACAATGTTCAAGGATAGAAAAAAGTCCATCACCTATGAAAAGTGAACAAAAAAGGTACAGGTGCCTTTAGCATGGAACCTTGCAAATGGGACCTTAATTTAAAATCTGCATATTTTTTCACACTAGAAGATAAGTTCTTTTTGTAATATTCCAACCTTCAGCTTGTGTCCAGGGTCTCCCCCATGTGCCAGTAACAACTCCACAACAGCTAGGTGGCCCCCTGCTGCAGCCAGAGACAGCACGGTGTGGTCATTATTGGTGGTCTGTCTGTTCACATCAGCACCTAAATCAACCAGAAACATATATTACTACTTGGGTCACCTTTCCACACTGTTACATTATAAAATAGATGCATATACACAGTATGGTACGTTTAAGCTTAATTTGCACTCTATCAATTCTTTTGACAGTCATAAGTTCACCTTCCTGCTAAGTGAACAATGAGTCCTTAATTTTTCTAGGAAGAGGATTTCCCACCTCTTTTTTTCCTCCTTGCAACTTTAGGCATCAAAGAGTCTTACCCTTGCTAATCAGAAACTGAACAGTACACAGATGACCAGCTCTAGCTGCTTTCATAAGAGGTGTCCGTCCACCTTCTGACTTGTGTTCCTAAAAATACACATAAATACAAAAAATTGCATTAAAACCACCAATGTAGCAATTATGCATCACAAAACAATATACACTCAAATTTTACCAAATCTTTAAAAATGTTACATAGTTTATTATTGTTTAATAGTAATCTAAGTAGGAATACATATCAAGGCTTTAAATCAGACATTTGGGTAACTGGCAATGATGACAAATTTCGAATTCTAAGAAGTGACATTTCAGTTCTACAAAGTGGCAAGTCTTTCTACACCTAATTTATGTTGAGAGCACCAAGCATTTCAAAACCACAAATTTATTCCATTTCAAACCACTCACCAACTCAGAACCAGTTTGCAAGAGAACATCTGCCACATCTGTGTGTCCATTTTCACAGGCATAAGTCAGAGCAGTGTCCCCCGTTCCTGTCTGGGCATGGACATTGGAACCTGGGAGAAAACAAGGGTTTAACATAAATGTTCTGTTCATTGGATATGAAAATATTACACAAATTACATTATTCATAATGTTTAATTTATATATTAATTGCCAGCTGACAATATTTTTCCTAAATTGACATTAAAGATGAATTAGAATTGTGCGATGCAATATATACCCATTACACCTCCACTTTCAAAAACAAAAAGAGCCAAATATTTCACCCACTATTACGTGTGTCCTAAATTTAACAGCACAATAAACCTCAAACAATCAAAGTAAAAAAAAACTAACTTTTTTAAAAATCATCTAACAGATTTCAACCAGTTTTATGCCTACCAGATTTGAGCAGATATTTCACCAGCTCTAGATGACCCTCTTGTGCAGCCTCCATAAGGGGTGTACTGCAGCCCAGTTCAATGTCTGCTCCTGCCTTGATCAGGAAGTCTGCCACCTCCAGGAACCCACCGCAGCAGGCCAGTGTGAGAGCTGTCTCCTGTGTTTCTTCAGTCTGACGGTTGATATCAGCACCTAGCATAAAAACACAATGAGCTGTCACTCTCCACAACAAATCTTTTTTTGTAACTGTAGTACCAGTAACTGGGGTCTTTTGTATCTGGCTATGAAGCACTTAATTATGAGTCGTGTTGGACAGAGTACCAGGTATATCACCAGATTAAGAGTTACCCATAAGCTAGACTGGACAGAGATTACTAAACATCATTTATAAATCATTATACTTTCTCGGTGTCATAAGCCAATGCTGAAACATCTTTATCTTTCATAGGGGAAAGACTACGACTAATACATCAGCAACAAAATTGTGTAGTCCATACACACCATGTGCCAGCAAGAGTGCCACCATTTCCTCGTGTCCCTCTCTGGCAGCTTCCATCAGTGGGGTATAACCCTCATCATTCACCTCCTCCAGGTTTGCCCCACGCTCAATCAGCAGGTTGGCCAGCTCTACATGTCCTCCACAGGCAGCCAGGGTCAGTGGGGACTCGAAGCTGTCAGCTGGCATATTGACCTGTGCAAATATCATTAACATTGCACAAATAGGATTCATATCTATTTACAAAAATGGAAGCTGTGACAATTCTCTCTTGCTTTTTTTCTATACTATTCTCTCCCATATTTGTGGACAATAAATGCTTAACTTATTCATAGGAAATGTGTCCTCTATGTTATTAAAGGTATATAAATAATCATACTAATGAGATATATGGAGGCTATCTAAAATTGTGAAAACTTTGCTCCTAGATAACTTAAAATTGTTAAATTCCACTGGAAGTTTTTACTTACCTGTGCCCCACTGTCAAGCAACAACCTTGCCACTTCTACATGTCCATCCATAGATGCTTCCATCAGAGCTGTGTGCATTTCATCTGTTTTGTGTTCTTGGTCTGCACCTGCATCCAGCAAGAATTTCACCATTTCCAAGTGACCTGGACAAGAAAAGACATTTCTCTGACACACTGCAAAGGTGCTACACAGCAAACTGCACCAGTTTGAAATGAGCCCTTTTCCAAAAACATACATGGTGAAATCCTTTAAAAAAATGAGCTGTACATTTACAAAAAACTGAAGGTCATTTTGTCAAACTAATTGTAAATTTGAAATGGCAGCTCTTAGAATTGTTCCCAATCTCCTGGAACAGCTGACTAAATTTCTATCAGTCCTTGCACATTTTATCTGTCATGACGAGTCTTCTGACTTTTCAAAATAAGTTCCGCATCAGCCACTGGGTTGCAATAACAATAAAATGAACTCACATTTCACTACCTGTATTACAAACTTAACCATTCACTTTCTTGATCTCATTAGAATGTGTTAATCCAAGCCCTACCATTAAATGTTTCATAATCATCTAGCTAACACCTGAATAATTGAACCAAATGCCTAACCTTTATAACAAGCCAAAGTAAGAGCACTTTCTTTGAACTCGTTAGAATGTGTGTTTATCCCAGCTCCAGCCTCCAGTAACAGGCGTGCCACGCCTACATGTCCTGCACTGGCTGCCTCCATGAGTGGGGTGTGACCATTCTCATTGTGTACCTCCACATTGGCATTGGCCTCAATAAGCACTTTGACAACATCTTCGTAGCCTCCACAGGAAGCATAATGAAGAGCAGTGTTTCCTAGGAAAAATAAGATTGGGCAATTATATCTAAGAAATCTTACATAAATTAGAAATGCCTTTGCAAATAATGGCCTATCCAAAGAGTGATCATCATGGGAGGACACAACGAAGAGTCTCCCGAGATCTGGAATAGGTTGTTTTAAAAAATACATTTTTGGTGAATGATCCAGTCATGTTACTTAAAATACCCTTGATGGGAAAAATAATAAAAAATATTTGTTACATGTATGGAACTCATTTTAGAAACCATATAATACAAAGATATACAGATGAAGCTGAGTAATTTCCATATACACGATGATTCTAGAAGTATAATTCATTTCCAAGATCATCTTCCTAATGTCCGTAAACTTATAAAAACTTCATTTANAAGTTGCTGCTGAAGTTGTTGTTGTAACTGGTGCTGTTGAAGCTTCTGCTGATACTGTTGCTGAAGTTGTTGCAGTCGTTTCTGATACTGCTCTTTCTCTTGAAGCAATTTTTGATGCTGTTGTTGCTGTATCTGCCTCTGCCTTTCCAGTTCCTGGTGCTGAAGCTCATGTATCTGCTGCTCCAATTTTTGCTGATTTTCAGACTTCTGGGCATTCAGCAGTAGCTGGGCCTGGGCTTTCTCCTGGAGCTCCCTCTCAACTTTCTGGAGCTCTTCTAAAATCTGTTGCTTTTTCAAAATCTGCTCCTCACGGGTTGTGTTTAACAACTCTGCTTTTTTCATCATTTTATTAATGAAAACCTCCAGCCGTTCACTTGGCTTAAGATCTGGATTATCCTCCAGATCAAAATCTTCTGCTGCATCACTCTCAACCTGCACAGTTTCACTATAATTCTGATCATATTCATAAAACTCATCATCAGAGTCTCCAGAAGTAGACGGATTCCCTCCTCCGCTGCTACCCCCACCCTGTCTTTCAGGCTGACTCTCCTTCTGTGCCCATCGACGTAAGCTTTTTGTTAAAGATCGCTGCATGTTGTGCCGTATCTGCTCATGGGTGCGCCCTGTGATGTTGAAATCTTTAAGATTCAACTCCCCAGGGGTGGCAGGAACATTGGGGGTGGTGGCTGTGGCGACCTGGGGTATCACTACTTGGTCTGGGTCCTGGGGTGGCACTACATTGCTCAACCCATGCATGGGAACCCTTGGTGGCTATAAACAATTATAACCAAAGCATTATCATGAAGATCCACATAATTTTAGCAACTACGGAAATGAAAGCACACAATAAGTTCAGATGAACATCTCATAGCAAGTTTCTGCAAGCTAAAATCTGTAAACCATCTGTGCTGAAAAGATGTAAGGCCATGTGCTGAATGATTTTAGCATAAACCACTCTAATTCTAATGTGAGAAATAAATGACTCCTTGGAACACAAATACATAGTTTTTCTCTTTAATACAATACCCTTCTAGTGTAAATGACCAGGGAATTTCGTGTAAATGACCAGGGAATTTCACATTGATCACAAAGTAGGAGTTTTCATTGCATCTACTTTCTGAAATCAGAACTAAAATGGCCCTTGCAAAAACCTTCAATACACTGACCCCCCCCCCAAAAAAAAAGATAAAAATTAAAAATAAATAAATAAATTAATTAATTAATAAATAAATAAATAAATAAACAAACATTACTTAATCCTGGAGACATTTGATTATGCTATCAGTATCCCTACCTCAGCAAACTCATTGCTCTGAGTGTCCGGTGACTGTGACAGCGAGGTTGGGGAAGAGGTGATACACCTTGGAAAGTCTATCAACAGACTGACCACGGAGGTGTGCCCACCTTTGGAGGCCTCGATCAATACCGTAGACCCATCCTAGAAAGAACAACCCAAAGCCTTTGTTACAGTTTTGGACATCGATAAAAAACAACCAAGGAAAGGTTGTTTTTTGTGTTAGCTGACTTGTATGGTTCTAAAAACCATGTGAGGGGAAAATGCACAGAGACCATTATACAGGTAAAACTTGATATAAAAGTCCATCACCTATGAAAAGTGAACAAAAAAGGTACAGGTGCCTTTAGCATGGAACCTTGCCAATGGGACCTTAATTTAAAATCTACATATTTTTTCACACCAGAAGATAAGTTCTTTTTGTAATATTCCAACCTTCAGCTTGTGTCCAGGGTCTCCCCCGTGTGCCAATAACAACTCCACAACAGCCAGGTGACCCCCTGCTGCAGCCAGAGACAGCACGGTGTGGTCATTATTGGTGGTCTGTCTGTTCACATCAGCACCTTAATCAATCAGAAACATATATTACTACTTGGGTCACCTTTCCACACTGTTACATTATAAAATAGATGCATCTACACTGCATGGTAAGTTTAACCATAATTTGCACTAATCATTTCTTTTGACAGTCATAAGTTCACCATCCTGCTAAGTGAACAATGAGTCCTTAATTTTTCAAGGAAGAGGATTTTCCTCTCTTTTTGTTTCTCCTTATGACTTCACGCATCAAAAAGACTTACCTTTGCTAATCAGAAACTGAACAGTACACAAATGACCAGCTCTAGCTGCTTTCATAAGAGGTGTCCGGCCACCTTCTGACTTGTGTTCCTGAAGTTTTACATAAGTAAAAACAATTTGCATTAAAACCACCAATGTAGCAATTATGCATCACAAAACAATACACACTTCAATTTTACCAAATCTTTTAAAATGTTACAAGTCTACAGAGTTTATAATTGTTTAATAGTAATCTAAATAGGAATATATATCAAGGCTTTAAATTAGACATTTGGGTAACTGGCATTAATGACATTCCAAGTTCTAAGGAGTGACATTTTCAGTTCTACACCTAATTAATGTTTAGAGCACCAAGCATTTTCAAACCCCAAATTCATTCCATTTCAAACCACTCACCAACTCAGATCCAGTTTGCAAGAGAACATCTGCCACATCCGTGTGTCCATTTTCACAGGCATAGGTCAGAGCAGTGTCCCCTGTTCCTGTCTGGGCATGGACATTGGAACCTGGGGAGAAAACGAGGCTTAACATATACGTACTGTTCACTGCATAATGTTTAATTTATATATTCATTACCACCTCACTATATTTTTCTTAAATTGACATGAAAGATGAATTATAATTATGCGATGCACTATATACCCATTATACCACCACTTTCAAAAGGGGGTTGCACTTTTCACCCACTATCAAGTGGGTCCTAAACTTAACAGCACAATAAACCTTAAACAATCAAAGTTCAAAAACTTACTTTTTTAAAATTACCTAAGAGATTTCAACCAGTTTTATGCCTACCAGATTTGAGCAGATATTTCACCAGCTCTAGATGACCCTCTTGTGCAGCCTCCATAAGGGGTGTACTGCAGCCCAGTTCAATGTCTGCTCCGGCCTTGATCAGGAAGTCTGCCACCTCAAGGAACCCACCGCAGCAGGCCAGTGTGAGAGCCGTCTCCTGTGTTTCTTCAGTCTGACGGTTGATATCAGCACCTAGCATAAAAACACAATGAGCTGTCACTCTCCACAACAAATCTTTTTTCTAACTGTAGTACCAGTAACTGGGGTCTTTTGTATCTGGCTATGAAGCACTTAATTATGAGTCGTGTTGGACAGAGTACCAGGTATATCACCAGATTAAGAGATACCCATAAGCTAGACTGGACAGAGATTACTAAACATCATTTATAAATCATTATACTTTCTAGGTGTCATAAGCCAATGCTGAAACATCTTCATCTTTCATAGGGGAAAGACTACGACTAATACATCAGCAACAAAATTGTGTAGTCCATACACACCATGTGCCAGCAAGAGTGCCACCATTTCCTCATGTCCCTCTCTGGCAGCCTCCATCAGTGGGGTATAACCCTCATCATTCACCTCCTCCAGGTTTGCCCCACGCTCAATCAGCAGGTTGGCCAGCTCTACATGTCCTCCACAGGCAGCCAGGGTCAGTGGGGACTCGAAGCTGTCAGCTGGCATATTGACCTGTGCAAATATCATCAACATTGCACAAATAGGATTCATATCTATTTACAAATATGGAAGCTGTGACAATTCTCTCTTGCTTTTTTTTTCTTTACTATTCTGTCCAATATTTGTGGACAATAAATGCTAAAATTATTCATAGAAAATGTGTCTTCTATGTTATTAAAGGTATATAGATATTCATACTAATGATATATATGGAGGCTATCTAAAATTGTGAAAACTTTGCTCCTAGATAACTTAAACATGTTAAATTCTGCTGGGAGTTTGAACTTACCTGTGCCCCACTGTCAAGCAACAACCTTGCCACTTCTACATGTCCATCCATAGATGCTTCCATCAGAGCTGTGTGCATTTCATCTGTTTTGTGTTCTTGGTCTGCACCTGCATCCAGCAAGAATTTCACCATTTCCAAGTGACCTGGACAAGAAAAGACATTTCTCTGACACACTGCAAAGGTGCTCCACAGCAAACTGCACCAGTTTGAAATGAGCCCTTTTCCAAAAACAGACATGGTGAAATCTTAAAAAAAAATAAATAAATAAAAGCTGTACATTTACAATTAACTGAAGGACTTTTTATCAAACTAATGGTAAATTTAAAATGGCAGCTCTTAGAATTGTTCCCAATCTCCTGGAACAGCTGACTAAATTTCTATCAATAGTTGCAGATTTTATCTGTCATGACGAGTCTTCTGACATTTCAAAATAAGTTCCACATCAGCCACTGGGTTGCAATAACAATAAAATGAACTCACATTTCACTACCTGTATTGCAAACTAACTATTACAAACTAAGCCATTCACTTTCTTGATCTCATTAGAATGTGTTAATCCAAGCCCTGCCATTAAATGCTTCATAATCATCTAGCTAACACCTGAATAATTGAACCAAATGCCTTACCTTTATAACAAGCCAAAGTAAGAGCACTTTCTTTGAACTCATTAGAATGTGTGTTTATCCCAGCTCCAGCCTCCAGTAACAGGCGTGCCACGCCTACATGTCCTGCACTGGCTGCCTCCATGAGTGGGGTGTGACCATTCTCATTGTGTACCTCCACATTGGCATTGGCCTCAATAAGCACTTTGACAACATCTTCGTAGCCTCCACAGGAAGCATAATGAAGAGCAGTGTTTCCTAGGAAAACAATAAGATTGGGCAATTATATCTAAGAAATTTTACAGAAATTAGAAATGCCTTTGCAAATAATGGCCTATCCGAAGAGTGATCATCATGGGAGGACACAACGAAGAGTCTCCCGAGATCTGAAATAGGTTGTTTTAAAAAATACATTTTGGGTGAATGATCCAGTCATGTTACTTAAAATACTCTTAATGGGAAAAATAAATAAAAAATATTTGTTACATGTATGAAACTCATTTTAGAAACCATATAATACAAAAATATACAGATGAAGCTGAAGAATTTCCAGATACATGATGACTCTACAAGTATAGTTCATTTCCAAGACATGATCGTCTTCCTAATGTCCGTAAACTTATAAAAACTTCATTCAAATAATTATAATAATAATATCTATAATTAAAAAAAAAATTAAAATTGGAAGGTGAAAGAAAGGATATCATACCTGATGAAGATTGTGCATTCACATCACCACCATGCCCTATCAAAAGTTTCACAATATCCACATAACCCCCACTGGCAGCCTCCATCAGTGGTGTGCAGTCCCCCTTGATGCCCCTGTCTTCAACATTAGCCTTCATGGCAAGGAGAACCTGAATAAAATATGTTATCATAATCATGAAACACAAGCTGAAATATTCTCACAGCATTAGCTTAGCTGAGGAAAATATGTTCATAACTTGTGAATTTACAATTTACACCCTGAATGAATATACTAATATATATATGTTGCTGTTTTCATAAGCTATAAAGAAACTTACTTAAGTAGTGGTTATTTATGTTAAACAAGCTTGGCATCAATGTGACAACCCATCAGCGTGAACATTAATAATTTTGCAGTTAAGAAGTAACAACATAAGGATTAAAGCTAAGGAGCAACTACCTGGTTAAGCCCATAGTACCAATCACCAATCTCAAAATATTCCATTCATTACTTACCTGTGCCAACTCATAGTATCCAGCAGAACATGCCAAAGACAACAAGCTCTCCCCTTCCTCTGTTGTTTCATGTACACTCCTGCCTTCATCTAAGAGTTTCCGTACTGTTCCAATGTCCCCATCACTGCAAGCTTCAGCAAGTGATCTACCACTGAAATTTACACAAAAAAATTATCCCCCTTACTGTATAAGGTATATCATAATAAAAAAAATATGCAAATAAAAAGAACTAACACAAGCTTTACTAGACTCTCAAAGGAAAACCTTATCAACCCCACTGGTCATAGCATTTGATTAATTACTTCTGATTTGGACTATGTTCATCTACAATGCTTTTTTATCTACTCTTTACATGACACAACATTTCGACCATTAAAAAGTTGCAAACAGCTTTGAAACCATATTCCAACATCTTTAATTAGAAGGTAAAAATTCAAAACATTTCAAGAACACTATTCATCAATTTGAAAAACAACTACATTTACCGTATAAATAATCAAGTTGACTTGTGAATGTGTGAATTTTTTTTCTAGAACTTACCCGTCTCCTTGTGCCAACTGTCCCTGCTGCTCTGCCCTCATCCTGGTCAGTGCTGCTGCTGCTTCATCCAGTGCACAGCTAACTGAAGATGTCAGGCGCCTAAGCACTTCAGGATCGGCGAAGGCCTTTCCATCAGCAGTGGACAGCTTTCCTAGTCCTGTGTGACATAAAAATACAGTTCATCATGACTATACTACCCTTCCATTTTTCCAAGAATGTGGATGGAGTATTTTTTCTCATATGACCTTTAAAAGACTGCAGTGAAATACATTACACTCGCTGCTTTAATGTTTATCTTAACTTATGAAAATGAAAAAACTAATCAAAATCACTGCACCAATATAACTGGTTTCCATGCATATTCAAAGGTATCTATTTCATCTTCAATACATATCAAATAAAAAAGATGATTAACAGCAAAATATTTCACCACTTAAAGTCTGAACCAGGATGTCTTTGTCTGACACATCTTAAAATAGCCCAAACATATTCTAAAGCTTAAATATTGACTGTACGTTAACTTGTCAAGACAAGCTTCAGCAACACATAGACTGAATATAATGAGCTGTTCCATACAGTAACATGGATTCTACTGGCCCAGTTGGAAAAACGTTGGGCTGAGTCCAGTGATATTTTTTACAATTTACCATGATTGACAGAAGAAATGAAAAAGGGAGATCATAGTTTTATTTTCCTTTGACAGTTAGAATGAAATACCTACCTGCAGCTTCAAGCAGTGCCTCCAGTCTTGCTTGGGTTTCTGGATCTACATTTCTTAAATCTGCTGCTTCCATACTTTCTGATGTTAGTAGAAATTTAGAGGCATCTAAAATGGGTTCCTCATCCTCAAACTCTTGGTCTAATATAAAGGATTCAACCTACAAGAAGTCCAACAAACAAAATTGAAAATAATAATAATAATAATAATAATAATAAAAAACATTGATCTGTATCAATGACAATGATTGGTAAATGCATTTAATGAACTACTGTAAGATTGAAACAGCTAATTAGACAGAACAAGGAAAGTGTGATTCACTATTTGTGTATTTGTAGCACCAGGTATATTTTTCCTATAAGTTGCAGTCCCCACTTGAAAAAATTAGTAAAACAGGTCTATTTTATGGCCAACCTTCCCAATAACCATATTGGACACCAATAACTGTGCCTAATTGATTAACAATAAATCAACATAAACAATCACACTTGTTCCCAAAATAAAAATACTTTACTCGTTAATTTTTTTAATAGAAAGAAGTTATGATCAGATATCCGTAGAAATGCCAAATACTAGTAGGTCCACAGGAATACCTGTATTTTTTTTTAACTTAAATAAAACGTCACTGACTCAATACCACAGTGATAAAATAAATCATCCTGGTGTGAACATATTTGTCCCACTAATATAGATCTTAGTATCCAAGTTTTAAATCTGTAAGCAAAAGTTAATGTATGTAAAGCAATTTCAGTGCACCATGTAATATGTAAGCAACATGAAAGCTCAGCAAATACCCTTTCAGACACTAACTTTGTAAAGTCTGGGGTCAATATAGAAATACACTAGACTAGGCTAACAGAGAACCGATAGCCAATTAAATTATTAGCATTAGTTCCAGAGAAATACAATCAACATTCATTAATATAGATGCTCAACACGTTAAATAAGCCCTGTAGACTAGGGAGAAGTTCCTGTGCCATTCTCAGATAAAATGTGTAGGATTTTAACATTTACTTCATAGAATCATTGGAAATGATCAAGTGGTCTATATTATCAGACATAAATGATCAAAGGAGAAAAAAGCTTTTTAACCGAATTTGTTTTTATTCATCTTGTCATCAATTTATTTTTTAAGCAACAAATGTCATATACATAACACTTCATTAAGCAATGGCTGATGATCTGTGATATTGGTAATTGCCTACATCAAGAGATTTCAGCACAGCCTTCACCTCATTACTGACTATTACTGAAAATAATCAAAAGCAAAACACCTTTGATCAAGTGAACATTTCACAGTAATTAAAATAATAATACGGATAAAAAGCATTTCAACTCCCACAGACAGGTCATGATCTGATATAAACATTCACATATCTGTGCATACTATATATATATATATATAATGTCTCTAGGGATTTGTCATCCTTATAAAAATTAAGTCAGCAATTTCTTTCTTTTTTTTTCCTACTGATAGTTTGGCTGTCGTGAGCTATTGAATAATAGTCCTGTTATACAGTGGAATTAAGAATAATAATAATATCACAACCAATGGCCTTGACAAAACAAACATACTTCCAGTTGGAGGTTTAATGGAAAAATGTTTGAACAGCACTATCAAATTTGCCTGTATATAATTAAAATTTTCATAAATGCAAAACACTCAAATAAAATACATATAGAAAACAATTTTGAGAATTTCTCTTCAATCCATATGTAAACCTTACCTTTTTCAGTCATTAAAAATGATGCATCAGAAAGTTAATTATCATGTATTTTTTTGCCAACAAGCAACTTAAATATAAATTCTGTTTTTCGGGAGCTTCAAATGGAATATCCACAAATACAAAGGACCTGAAAATGCCTCTCTACTACACGAATGCCATTCATTTCATGAACTGTTAACCAGTGCTTGTTAAGTTTTTCATTTATGAGATTTTAGTGTCATCTATTTATAATTTATTTACAGATTTTCATTTGGAATCTATACAAACCTTGACATTTATTGAATCACATATTAGAAGAGGCCATTTCATGTTATGGCAGAACAGATGTGATTCGAAAACATGTCAATAGAATGCTGTGAGTTTGCATTTGAAATTAACTTTATCATTCTTTTACACTTAAATACAATTCTATTTAGACATGCAAAAAACAAACTTTCAAATGAAATGACCTTTAAAGATGCTGCTTTCTGTTCAAAGGGCATAACTAAGTTGATTAAGTACATAAATTGACAAATAACTCAGTTATTACTACCAGTAAAAAAATTAAAATTAAACAAGGACAACTTTTTTTAGCAAAAAAAGCAGATTAGATTGAAAAAGTAAAGTCAGCTGCAACACAATTGCCAGGCAGAAGTTGAACAAGTTTCAGAAACATATCCAAGTAGCCATGAATCACAACTCCCAGGGTTTGAACAGATAGCCATCATTATCACACATTAAATACGTTACAAGTTGGCTGATAAGCGGATGTGTTGTATGCAATATACAAAGTTTGAATGTATCGAATCAATAAAGCACATGGTTTCATGACCTTGCAAGGATTTTTCGTTACATCCAACGTCGTATTGGACGCCATTTTGTACTACTTTAAGCTTATTGTTTTGCAAAATTATGGAACACATTGACGGTAAAATCATTTACCTCAGATACATCGTCTTCGTCACTGTCTGGGATGAAATTTTGAGGCGTAATAATTTGTGTCTTTTCCATCATAGGCGATGAGGGTCTCCCTCTTAATTTTAGAACCTCGACATCATTCAATTCGGTGTTGGACTCATCGTTTGATAAGCGGTCTTCATTCTGCATTTTAAGAACCGTCGATCATCCCCGCATTCCTTGTGATCATCGACGTTATTTTCACAAACTCACAGTGGCTAATTTTAAAATAATTCAAGCATGCTGTAGTAACCACCTAGACCGCCATTATGAAAGTTCGTCATGACAATGTCCCGGATGAACACCTGCGCGCACATGCTCCGGAAGTCTCAGAAAAATTTTAGATTATGTGTTCGTACAGTCTTTATTTGAAATAAATTATATCACATGAAGTAGTTTATAATGTGTCAATGTTTAAAATATGATGAACATTGTCCAAAATAATGAAAAAGTGAACAACCCTGCCCGAAAGCCCCCAGGGAGGATCGAACTCCCGACCCCTGGTTTACAAGACCAGTGCTCTAACCACTGAGCTATGGAGGCTTGTTGAGGTGGCAGGGGAAAAATGAATAATATAATACTTTATCGTAAAGAAGCTGATATACATCATAAATTGTTGAATTTTCTTTGCAAAACGCGAAAAGGGAATAGTATTTCATGTTACTAGCAATTTTGTTGCTTAGCATTATGCTCTTCAGAACTTCATCAAATGTTGATTTATTAAAAGTAAAAGTAGATTTATTAAAAGTAGATTTGCATGGCAATCAGTTAACTTTAACAAAAAAAAAAAAATTCATTATATACTTTGTCGTTTTTGTTAAACAATATTGAACAAAAATCGTAGACAACCAAAAATGACTGCTTGGAGCTCATTTCTGGATTCGACTCGGCCAACAGGTGATGGAGAAGTTTCACTGTCAACAAACAGAACACGTGGACACTTCGCACGCATGGACACACTATCGAGTGGGAGGGTAGTGAGGAATCACGTTGCTTGTGCATGAAACGGACCTGTGTTCTTACAACAAGATTTAAAAACCTTGAGTTTAGGATTTAAAAACCTTGAGTTTAGGTACACACATACCTGCCTTCCAGTTATGAATCATTCATTTATGACAAGCCTCCCCCACCCCCACATTAGTACCAAACACAAGCAATTATTTTTCATTTTAATAATCACAGTACAGCAGTCGATCGTTACTGCTCAAGTCATTACCAGATTAACAAGCCTCCTCGTTTCCAACATACTTGCTTTTATCAATGGTGGAATTTTACACATACTGTATTTTTTAAATCACAATTTCGCAAAACAATAACATTCCTGTTGAATGGTAGCAACAAAATTAACAGATTTTGATGAAATTTTCAGGAACTGTCAGAAGTGGGCCAAGGAACAGATGATTAGTTTTTGGTGGTGATCTGGATCAACAATCAATCAATAATCAATAATAAAAAAATTAAATCATTATAGAATGAAAATTTAGGGGTTAAATGGCATTGGGTAGAGACTTTGCTGCCTTGGCGGAGGTCTGCGCTCTCGGAATTCTTTTCTAGTTTATGTGATTGCATTCAGATAGAGAGTCTCCTCAGAGTCGCATAGATCAAAGTAGAACGATATAGTTTCATGAGCCCTTAGATTATATGGTAAACAGGTGAAAATGTTATTTCATGCTGACATAAACCGTTTTATTCACTTTCACAGATCGGTATCAAGAAATCTTACGTGAACTATTGATTAAAACTCATAAAAGTAATATTTGCTCATTCTTTTTGATAGTCTTAAGATGGATGTCAAATATATCAATTTTTCCTACTGAAAAAAATGCATATAGGGAATATTTAGCACCATACAACAAATATGGATTAATACTTTACAAAGGTCTCATTTATGCCCTGCGATAAGAAATAACAACACATTATATCAGCAACATTGTCATCATGTTGACATTTTATAAAGTTCACCATGTCCTTTTCACAACCCTGAATGTTATGCCCCACATTATGAAGAGTCCACTTCATTATCAACTTACACATCCAATAAGTCATTTGGCTAGCACAAATTTTCAGGGTGAACAACTTAGTGGAAACTAGCAGAAATTAAAGTAAAACATTATTTCTGCTGATCCAAATGTCAGTCATATTTTTTTCTTTCTTTATGTTTTTATGTATTTTTTCTTTTTTGACTGTCAAACAGGGCAATGATCTAGCAATTACCCTGACAATCCACTGTGAATGAAATCAAATAAGCAATATGTTAGATGCCGTATCACAGACCATGCTACAATTGTTTCCCCACAGCTTCCTCCTCACACGTCTGTATTGGTATATGTGATATGATGCTATGCATCTATCATAAAGAGACTTTGTTGAATGTCTTACTTTAGATTATAAAACTAAAGATTAAGTTATGCAAACTCCAACACATTACAAATGTAGATAGTGATTCAATAAAAATAATTCTGCAATTTAAACAATTTCTACTTTATGTAGTACACTAACAACTAACATACCCTTTCACAGGTCTGGCTTGCATAAAAAACAGATCAAATCTAATCACTGTGCAATACAGTGGTTGAAAAAGGCATCTAAATATAATCTGACACTTTTTTTAGATCTTTGATTCCCAAAATCTATATTCAAGATTGAAGGATTTAACAAGAACTTTCTGCATAACTTCTAAAATGCCAAATAAAAAAGTTCTCATAAAACTAAAATGATTCTTTCATTCCTTACCAAGAGAGTAGCCAATTTATACAAGCAGTTATTTTTGATTAGAACTATTAGAAAAAATTTCCAATAAGCAACAAGATTACTAATGAGTTCTGCTGCTGTAATGAAAAAACAATGGGCTTTCACTTTTTACTCAACTGTAGATGAACTGAAAGCTTTGGTATTAGAACCGAGTTCCCCCCTTCTCTCTATAAACATATATCTTTTTACACTGTATTTATATTCTTATCTGATTCCACAACATTCTATTTGGGTTTAAAAGATGAGCAGTTAAGGCTTGGTCTTTATAGAGCCTTGATACAATACACTAGTTGTGAATATTAACATATAAATCAGCCAAGAAAAACACAACAAAAACAGTGGACAAAAAAGCAATGTTCATGCTTTAAAAAACATCTCTCCAACAATACTTCATCCAGAGAAATCTCACTTTTTCAATTGCACCAAGTATAAATCCTCTTTTCTGACTGTGTTCATTACATATGTTTACCAAGTTAGTTATACAGCAATTAGAAACCATTGCATTTTTATCCAGCATTCACTTTGCTTCTTAATTTTCATCTTTTTCTTGGCGGTTACTTGAAAGACATGCGAGTAGCGACTTAGATATCCATATGGAACTGAGGTTCATCCCCTGAGGTTTCTGAAAAAAAATCTTCAATTAATTTCATGGTAAGGAAATAACTGTTGTTGATCTTTTCAAATAAATGTTTGCTTTGTTAAGCCTATTTGAAAAAAAAAATTTGGTATTTCCTGCACAAAGAAAACTTAGTATCGTTTATCTTGCAAACATTACCAATATTACCAGATAAACACAAAACTCTTTTGAAAAACTGCAAGAAATAAAACTTTCTTTTTAACTGAAGTCATTTTATTTAATAAATGGTGCACTTACACAAGCAACACCAAGCTTAGAATTACACAATTTCTTCCTAAATGGATGGGTTGCTAATGACAAATAAATCTTTGTACCTTTATGATTTGCATTCTCCTTGCCACTTCTTTCTTCCTTCCCCATACCATTTTCCTTCATCAGCTCTCCCTTTTCCTCTTGAACAGTAGTTACACCTGGGATCTTGGGAAGGTTTGGAGGAGGACTTTTGGCCAAGGGAGAATTGCGACACTGCATCAAGAAATGGCGTTCATACACTATTCTTGTACCTGTATAGAACACGACAAAACACATGATAAATGGTGAAATACTGATACTGTTATCTTAGCTCCATACAAAACATCACATTTAATTTGGCTAAAGAAGATTTAAATATGTTTAATTAGTTCCAAATAATTGTCAATGATTGGCATATTAATACAAATTATTTATATAAATATATATGGCTGTATTCCCAGAGCTTTTAGATCGATCTATCCCCGCGGGGAGTCTCACTAGATTACTGTCAGATAATCCGGCTTAAATGTCTGTTCCGCCTACTACAAGCTGTAAGGGGGTAATTAACTTTCGTGTCCGCTCGGCTGACAGCTATTTAGCGTGAACCCCCAGGGAGTTAGGTCGATCTAAAGTAGATCGATCTAATCTCTGGAAATGGGGTCTATGACATCAGGTTATTCTAACCCTGCATGTTTTTGTTGACATAAGGAAATGGCAGTTTTAGACTGGGTTCCCATGCCTGGAACGTTCCATCTGGATCAGTCCAACTCCCTGGGGAGTCTCACTAAATTGCTATTAACTAACCAGCTTAAATGTCTGTCACGCCTACCAAATCAGCTAGGGTACAGCTTTACCAGGTATGACAGAGATTTAAGTCAGTCAGGTGATAGCAATTTAATGAGACTCCTCAGGGAGACGGATCAATCCAAATATCTGTGGGAATGGTCCCTTATTCAATTTTTGTACTTATGGATATCGTTTTTCAAATTAAAGCACATATCTTGACAGCAATGTTTTAAACTGATTAATACCCCATCACACTGCCATCTGAAAAATACATAATTTTCAAATTCGAATTTCTGGTGAAAAATCTGATTTGCTTGGAGAGTTAGATAAATGTAATTTCAAACTGCCTTGTTAAATAAGTATGTGAACCTAACCAGCTGCTTTCAACTTTTAAGGACATCCTAAGTACTCTTCAAAGCTGTTATTAATGCATTCCACGATAATCAAACAAATATATATGTAGCTCAATAAAAACAAATACTTATCAAGATATAAAAAATATAAAAACTCCAGTTAAATATGTAAAAAACCTATAAATCATTTTCTACTGAAAAATTATTAACTGTACATATTCAACTGACTCAAATTTCAATTTTGATGTTATTTACATTCTGTCGGGCTATCCAGTCCTGCTTGACATAATGACCTGGTCCTAAGTACTAGCTAGGTGATTTATATCAGTAGGTTATGAATCACCTGAGTGATAATTTTTTTTTAATATTCTGTTTGACACATTGCCAACTGAGTGTAAATTATGATGGCTTTAATGATACATAACAGTAAGTACTGCATCATTGCAAAATTAGTAACAAAGCATGGTATTCTGCTAGATGTGGTGAGTGAATCATTTTCCAGGACATGAACCACAACATGGGATCAACGCCAGATATTATGCAAGGTCATTCCAGTACATATTTACAAAATTTAGGTGACTGCGCTGCATTGCGAATGAATATATCCATTGTCAATTAGAGATAAAAGAAACCAACTCATCTATCATGCAACATTTATATCATCTTTCACCATAAATTTGGTCGGTTGTTCAAATCATAAATGAAAACATAAACAATCATAGGTCACATGGCACGTAAACATGATGCAGGAGCGGCCATATTGAACGTGCTCTGCAACAACAAAACGGGGATTTCCTCAAATGCCCCTCTTTACACATTGCATCAGACATGTCATTACCATTCAATCAAATAACAAACACCGTTAAACATAATTATATATGACAAAATTACACTGATAAATATACAAACCTCCTGGCGTGGTCGAAAATAAAGTTCCACCAGGCGTTGTACTGTAATCGTGTGGAAGTTGCGACGGGTCATTTAAAAGTACCCGACGCGTTGGGATTGCTTGACTAGAGACTATTTGGCGCTGGACTGGAGAGGCAGACATTCTTGGCAGTGTCGCAGTTGTTATTTGTGGTCACGAACAGGCGATGCCTCTGCTTAAAGCTGACTTTTCAGTGGTGTTTACTATTTTCCCAACTATCTTCCACCATAACACACTTTCGGACGACAACGTGATGAATAAATTAACATTCGGAAATTTAAAGGTCAGACATTTTTTATTCATCGTGTGTTATTCTCAAAAATATGATTGTAAAAATATGTTGAAATAAACACATATTGATTAAAAGAAAGGGGAAATTAGAACTATCATGTTGATTTGAATTTCATTGTTCGGGCATTTCCGTCAAGCATCAGTACTACTGCCTCATTCTCGACACCAAATGCGTTTGTTGTGCTTTTATGCTAACTATGATTGTGTCGATATCGGCATTCCTCTTCTTCAACTGAGTGCAGGAAATTAATGAAATGTGGACGCACTTTATTGTATTATTTACAAAAAACATTAATGCCATTACTTTGTTAAGATATCTTTAACGGAGTAATTGTAATTTCAAAAGCAATAACCTTTTACTAACTTTATTTGGATGCTCCCACCTCCTTGGTACTGGAGGAAAACATTACTTCACCATTAGTCTTAAAAAGGGCATTTGTTAAAAAAAATATATATCTTGTTTTTTATAGATTATGACACCCCATCTTATTTCCCATCAGAACATCAACCTAACTTGTATAACGTGAGTTTTTCCAGTTTTCCATTTGAATATTCACTTATTAGTTAACAAAGGTCAGAATTTCTTTTCCTTATAGATAAACAAAGGTCAGAAATTTAGGGACCATTCCAAGACCCTATCGTACTAACTTTGGATCGATCTATCTCCAAGGAGATTCTCGCTAAATTGCTATCAACTTAAGTGGCTTAGATGTTTGTCTCGCCCACTGAAGCTTTTAGGGGTTAATTAATTATCTTTTAGCAGCTTCAATAAGGTGTGCCAGACATCTAAGCTGCTTAAGCTGAAAGCAATTTGTCAAGAAACCTCTTGGAGATGGATCGATCCTGTTAGATCAATCTAGGTATGGAAACCCATTCTTATTTGATATTATGACTGACTCAAACATGAAAAGGTATAAAAAATTTTAATAAAATTCACTTATAATGTATATTGAACAATGAATTATAGAAAACTTTTCAAAAGGATATTATTTACCCACTGCAAGAAACTAATCATATAATTCAAACTTGCTCACTAGATTCTGATTAAAAATGAAAACTGACCACCCTGCATGGAGTCCTGCAGCATTATAAAGTCCCTTCATTTTTAGTCACATAAGAAAAGTAAACTTAACTCAGTGTTTTTCTTTCGATACATATGTCATTTTTTTCATCAACATCAACCTACAGTGAAACTAGTGAACTATTTTGATTTAAAAAAACAAACTCATATTGCTTATAATGATCTAATGTTACAGTTCACATATTTCTCTCTTCTGGATTTTTGTATTTCATTCCTATATAGTCAAATATATCCTTCTCACTGGTGATGGGAAGGGGCTCCCCTGGAACACCTAGGAAAATATACATGCTTTAACTTTATTACAATTAAAATAAATAAGACGTACTTTTGGTTAGTTATATATAATATTGTTATAAAAAAAATGTAGTTAATTTTTAACCCCCCCCCCCCAAAAAAAAACAAATAAATAAATAAATAAACTTATTTTTAGCACTAGAAATGATCAAGGTACCATTCAGTGATCACATCTATTTATTGGATTTAGACAATGGTTATCTCTAGGCTCTGGAATTGAGGGTGAACCTAATGCCTGGTACTGTGAATATGGCAAAATATGTTCATTATCTCCTTTACGTAAAATCTTTTTTTTTTTTTGTAATTTAAAGAAAGTTATGTATACATTGTATGTTCTACCTGTACTTCCAACTGGCCTCAGTGTATATTCATTTAATGTAAATCCTTCTTCTAGAGCTTTAGCTCTCATGTTCTTATTGAAAGCATCACTGCCCGTAAAGTACAACAACGCAGGGTAATACTGGTCATGAGGTATTAACCTGCAAAACAACATGTAAAGTTATCAACATATCTCCAGCACTAAATGATGAAGCTAACGTTTTTACATCTACATATAAAAAGTGCTGACATTCAATTCAAGCAGGTTGTTCCAATGTAGAAAAAACTTGTGCACTTTAAGAGAAAATTGCTATTTCTGAAAATACTTCAAAACTATTTATTTATTTATTTATTTATTTATTTATTTATTTTTATTTTTTTTTTTTTAGCAAACTTCCTCATTGGTTACCTGATATCTATCCTTCTGAAGGGATGTTCTTTTCCATCCTTTCCCTCTGGAAGTCTACAAACACCCTATAAAAAGATTTTCAGAAAAATGAGGAATGCATTTATGTCTGCACCTGGCCTGCATGATTTTAGACAGAAACAGGTTGCCTTATAAAGTTAAATCAGGACAAATTGACAGTAAGTTAAGGGGACTAATAGTAAAAGGACCAAAGTCATAGAAACAAAGCCCTGAGCTTATAAGTTTTTATAAAAAATTAAAACAAATTTCCCAAAAGGCCAATTAAAGACGGGGATTAAGTACAGTATTCAACGGATGACGCTATAGCGCCAATTTTAGGGGGGAAATGCCGTTTTCAGAATTGGGATTTTCTCTATAACCAAGACAGCTATTCAGGTGATTCAAAAGGCCTCATAAAGCTGGGTGAAAGCACTTCAGCGGGGTACCAGGGAATTGTCTTAAACTATTTACTTTTGATTTTATCATCTTTTACGTTAAATCACCCCATATTTCAATGGGTTATTCATTTCAAAAGACGATAACTTTCAAACAAACAATTTCCTCTTAAACCCCTGACATCATGCTGTAGTCCACATTCCCAACAACAATAGTAACTTTTGTAACGATCGGTTGCTCAGATAGTGAGATATACTTGGCAGCGATTCACTTATCTCGTCAATATAGAAAGCTGTTAAAACAGCCAAAAACGTTCACAGGTTGGTTAACAGAGCTTATTAGTCAAATGCTTAGCTGGCAAATTTACCTGTTATCGGTTATACGATCAGATGGAACCATTGCTCATTGTCATTTTGTTTGGGTGCTTTGAAAGGGCAGAAAATCGTGCTTTTGTTACATTTTCCGACCACTCGTTAGGCTTGTAAGCGTGCTGCCATTTTGATTGACAGCTCTGGAGAGGGCCCTAGCCTAGTGATGCTCAGTAGGGTGTCAAGGATATGTAGAAGGAAGCGCTAACAAAGGCAATTACGTTTAACCACAATTAAGAGGTGTGAAGTTGCATTTGAACGTTTCAATGGGTCTGCCTCGGCAATCGAGTAATTTTACCTGAGAGATTCCTTTTCTGTTATCGGCAAAGTGATCAGATAAAACTGGGTGACAGTACTAGTTCTAAACTGATTATCCTGGTAACTGTGAACTCGGGGGTGGGGGGTGGGGTATTAATTTTTTCAAGAAGTCTTTTTGTGATTTTTATTTTGGGTACATTTTGAACTCTTTCTTCCCGCTTGATCTGTGATTTTGATATTGTTTTTCTCCAAACATCGCAAAATGCAAGTTAACATGCGTTTTTATTTTTATTGTTATTTTTTTAATCATGCTGTCAACCCTTGCTTGGATTTCTCTCGTTTGGCCATTCACATCAATTTTTTGCGTGTCTCTAAAGCTCCTTGATTTCATTTATTGGAGAATAAAATTATATTTTGTCAACATTAGTTTTTACCTTCTACAAACGGCGTCCAACAATCATTTCCAGTTTCGTAAAAAGTTATCGCCAAAATTAAGAGCTAGGCTAAAAGTATCGTTTCCAGCTTTTTTTCTTTAAGTAATAAATTTTTCGTACAAATACATTTCTCAATTAATTTAGACGATTCGATTTACTCTTTCACCCATTTGTTAGGTATACATAAAGAAAAAAAAAAGACGAATAATATTAAACATTTCATGATGCTATTATTTGAGCTGTACATGCGCCAGTGGCTGTAACTGTCTTTCGACCAACACAACGTCGCCGCCACACACACGACGAACACACGACTTGTAGGCACTTTCTAACAACTGTCCACTGTGCCAAAGCCTGTACCCAGTAGCTACTGTTTTTTCCTCACGATCACTGTCAGAAGACTCCGAGGGCTGTTCAAAGTCCTTCTAAATCTTACGACACTCACTCCAGGTAGATTCTCTCTCTCGTCATCCGACTGAACAAATACCGGTTTACCTCCAACTGCCCACATACTCTCTAAATTTTCTTTCTTTCCTCTAGAAATGGACTTTTAACACGAACTTTTCTCTTCCCCATAGCGTACTCGACTTGCTGATGTAAGACTTATGAGTCATGACCTATCACCGCACACGTAATCGGCTTATAACTCATTAACTATGCTCCGCCCCCCTCATGGCAACGGCCCTTAGGAACAGAGTTGTCAGCCTGACTGGGGCGCGTGCCGGTTGAAAAACTCATCAAAAGACACATTTTGCGGTGCAAATTCAAAAAAATTATTACATCCAACGTTAGATACTTTTTTGATTAATATAAACACACAAAAAACTCAAAAACACGATTTTAAGCGTAGTTAACCCTATCACCGGCCTTAATAAGTACCACATTTAGGGAGTATTCAATGAAGAAAATCACTCGAACCAGGTTAACAGGTTTGAATATGCTGGATTGTAGATAATGAGGATGTGTTTCCAAACTTATCAAGACTACCCTCAGTGTGAGCTTACACAAACCACATTCAGTGGCTCTTTCTCAAGCCATCTTACCATAAACTTGGAATCTCCTAAGGAAAGTGTGTCTGTAATGAAGTCTGTTTCCTTCAGGCTGTCCACTATGTCATGCAGAAGTCTTATCTACAAAAAAACAAAATTTTAATCAAACTGTACATTGGTGTGCACCCACATGCATGCATGTGCTTATTTTGGGAAGGTTCTCCTCCAAGTCACAACTTAAGCTGAAAATTTATTTTCATTTTACTCAAGGTTTTCAGACAAGGTACACCTTAGTGTATGTACATTTTGAGGAATTTCCAGAAAAATTCTTCTTTTCACAAAGGGATCTGAGCCTGAGATATCTTGAGGGTGAATAAGTCTCAGTTTATTAAATGCATCAACAAGTAGTACCTTTTTCTTTGTCTTTGAAGTAAAACTTGGATGAGTTACAAGTACATCTATATCTCCACTGGAGTCAGCACCTAAAAGATGTACAGAAGACTCACATGTCACTGATGAAAGTATGTAGGCGGAATTTCAAAAGTCAAATTAAAATGGCAAAAGTCTCATATTTCAAACAGCCTCTGGATATTAGTTTTTAAACCAATTTCATCATTTCCCAATGGCTTCTTTGACTAGTAATTCCATTGTTAATTTTTTTGCCTGATTGATTCTGCAGAAAAAAACAAAAACTTCACTTACCTCTCCTGAAGCTCCCACAAACCTTAGCTTCATAGTCTTCATCTAGTTCGTTGATTACTTTAAAAGCAATATCCTAAAAAAACAGAAACAGAGTTTTACACTATCATGTTAAAGATGATTCAATTGGCTTTAGACCATTTTGTCACATCAACTGTTAAAATAGTACCAAAGAATGAACACCCAAAGTTTCAAGGGTACTGATTGTGACTTTTCTCTTTGCAGCATATCCTTTCAGCTTCTGGAATTGGCACTAATATGCTTATAAATGAACAAATTCCCAAAGGACTTTGACAATCAAGGTTTCATAATTTCACAAAAATGTTTCCAAGAGCCCATTCAGAATAGAAGACCCGAGGATCTTCTGGGCTCCGTAACTCGAAAGCATTGCAAATTGCAACCGAGCGCAAGCGTCTCTATTCCATAACTCAACATTTACTCACCCCATATAATATAATAGCCTCGAAATGAAAGGTGATATTGCTATTGCAATTTGCGTTGCCTTCGAGTTATGGAGCCCTGATCCACATAACAAACATGACAGACCCTACATGAAAGAAGAACCCACTAATCCGCTGATGGTCTCCCCACCTCCACTATTAAATGGATCAAATCATGGCTCCAAGGTTTAATTGCTAGACCCCGAAAGGACAGCGTGTGGAAGACCATCAGCGGATTAGTCAGCTCTTCTTTCATGTAGGGTCTGTCATATTTGATCAGAAGATCCTCCGATCTTCTATTTTGAATGGACTCTAAGGAGTTATTCAGTATTATGTTTACATTGCTAAGTACTTACTTGTAATTTGATCATTTCTTCTCTAGGTATACGCTTCTCAAAATCTTCAAAGTGCCTTAAGTTGCAAAACAGTAAGTAATATGTGCACTGATCATAAATATTTAGAAAAATTCATATTAATTTTTTGCACTATCCATTTAAAATATGTTTATCCCAGCTCTACTGGGCAATAAAATCCCATCAAACATTTATTTTTTCACAAAAAGAAGACAATGCTATTTCTTTTAACCAGGTTAGATTCTCATATAAAAACTTCCTTTCAAAAATACTTTATGTATCTACCTATGTTTCAAAAGTAATGTCAGGTTTATGAGCAAAAGTATTAATAAGCTTGGTAGTTGGATCATATATGATAATTATCAAATGCAATCCTAAATACTTTTATACAGTTAGCTTACAGCCAACAGTGATAGTAGACCTTCATATGTTGTTATTCACTGACCGCTAGGTGGTATAACGACCAGGACCCTCTCAAAAATGTCATGTAGTTCACCCCCTCCTCTAATTCAAGGATCTTGGTTGAATTCTAGTCTGCCATTTCTGGACATGTAATAGAAATCAGCCACAGTATTGACTGGAGTTCAACCAAGATCCTTGAATCTGAGTCATCTATCCCTCACAAGATATGACAGGCTGTCAACATCACCCGTCACCAGCCATTCTTGAATAGGGATGGGGGGGGTCGATCTACCTGACATTTATAAAAAGGTCCTGGCTGTTATACCACCTTGCAGTCAGTGAGTAACAACATCTACTCACATCAGTCTGATAAAGGCCTATGTCTAGGTTTGATAATTATAATATACAATGTTAAGTAAGAGGAAACATAAGTGTTTCAAAAATGACTCTGTGAAATCTCCTCAGCATTCTACAGCATAAAAATCACCTACAGAAACAACCTGGGCTCATGCACAGTTATACATTTTCTTTATAAAATTTTTGGAAAAAAAAAAATTTTTCTACCTGAGTCCAATTTGTTGATGGTGGTTAAGCTTTTCTGGGTGTTTTCTTAAATCTGAAAACAATCGGAACAAAAACTTCAAAATAAAAACTAGTCATTGTAAATGATAACACTGTTCCATTGGGCTAAATAAACACCACAGGGATTATCAGGAAAAATATGATGAACCAGTTCACAAAAGGAAAAAAATATATATTCAGAGAAAATATGTTTAAAGTATTTATGTTGTAGGTTAGAAAAAGAAGCCAGTCAACTTATATATTTGATCCAAGGAAATGGCACATGGGTATACTAATGTGAAGGATTCATATATAATTATAAATAGCATCAAAAGATGGGCATTAAATTTTTACATGTGAAAAAAAAAAGATAAATCTGTTTAACTCATGACAATAATCACACAATGATACCTTCTATTGTCGATATCCCTTCCTGTACCAGCTTTTGAGCTGCAGCTGGGCTAAAATAGAACAGGAAAACAGTAACAGCTGCTGTGGCGGAAGTGGTGTGTTAACATTTAAGAGGAATGCTTATACATGTGAGCATATTTCTGAATATCAATTCTAGTTTCTACAATAAAGAATGAAAAAACAACACCATTATGTTAACCCTTTTGCTTTCATTTGAAATATATGAAACAGGAACCATCATCCAAATATATACACAGAACTCTTTCCTTTCTTACTTGAAAGGAATAATAGCAGCAAGGTTAAAACTGCTTGATTTTCATTACAAAATTTGTAAACACTTTTTAACTGGATGATCCCAAACTTTTCCAATTATAAACAACCATTGCATCTCAATCATCAACCCTCTTTCATAAATGCAACCTTAATGCAAATTGTAAACCACATGAAGAAAACTGAGGCTATAAATTTCAATCTGTAATTAACATTTAAATAAAGGTAAATGTGTTTAACCATGTGCGGCAGACAGCACAGTTCATTAATTATGTGAAATGCAGGTTTGTGACATGAGATGACTTACCCTATCCCCGTCACTCGGGTCAGTAGGTTTATGGCAACATTAGTGTCATCAGCTCGGATCTGCATGAAGTTTAAGTAACCTATCAGTGTATGTCAACATCAGGAAAACCACAGAAGTTAATTAAAGACACAAGTTTTCTTTTAATGCCACTTTATAAAAATGAACAATAGAGAGTGAACATGAAATTTGTCCAACATAAAAACAAATCTGAATAATTGTATCATTATTAGAAGAGATAGAATTTTGTGATTTAATACTAACCAAAAACCATTGTTATGTTAATAGGGTTCAAACCAACAAGCATAAAACCCACTGGCACATATAAATAAGTAATTTAAATTCCACTAGTGTTTTATTTGTATCATACACTTTTCATGTCATTGTACATTCCTATACTTTTGCTAATGCTATCATATACCAATTACTAAAGAATTATCTTTGACTTAAAAATAAACAAAAAATATTGAAAATTACCTCTTTGATTTATTGATATGTGGCATCGATTTTCAAATCAAAAATAAAAGTTATTAATATTTGGCAAAATACACTCAAGTATACATTTCAGATGAAACAAATAAACAAAATTTGGATGGACACAACAACAGAATATATTATTCTGTACCTTTTCAAGTTTTTGTAGTTTGCCAGTAGCAATTATCTCATCTATTTTCTTCCCAATCTTATCACCAATACCATCCTGTGAATAATATNTAATATAATATATATATATACATACTGTATATTTTTTATATCTTTTCTCATTTTTACATTCAAGAAGGATTGCAAAACATTCTCAGTAAGTGATGTCTATTAATCATATAATGTCAAAAGTGTGTCATGAAAAAATATTTGTAAAACAACAAACAAAAAATGGGAGTAAAAACAAGAAAAAGGAAAAATTTCACTTAAAGGGAATACTAGATGTGGATTAAACTAAATATTTCAAGACTGTTTTAAACTGGTCCTCAACGTTATAAATTGGAGACAGCATGTTTCTGTTTTCAATCACATAAAAAATGGGATGTTTATACTTTACCAGTCTTTTAGCTTCTGTTCCATTTTTCACTCTTGTTGGATGCTTTGAAAGTACTGATGCAGCTTTTCGATAAGCATTAAACTTATGCATCTGCCTTGTAACATTTTTCTCATAGTCAGCAAGCTCTGTAAAATGTAACTTAAATTAAAAAAAAAAGTGCATTGTTCTCATGATGATGGATTTTTAATGTGAGGCCTATTTCATTTATTTACACCAATATAAATATTCCATGTATATGACATATAATCAGCCAAAAGGTTAACTGAATTCAATATGTAGCCACACTGATCAGATGGAGTAATCCCATTCATTTATCCATTACACTAACCAAACTTGTGGATATAAGTGGTCCAGACTAGACTCTTAAGATACAAAATAGGATTGCCAGCCTGAATATGGGGCTATTCAGAATAGAAGATCTGAGTATCACCTAGTCCAAGGCTCAAATATGGCGGACCTTACATGAAAGGAAGATCGCTTAATCCTGTAATGGACTCTCTGCCTCTCACATTGCCTCCACATGCGTCTGGTCGAATGGAGTCGAGATTTAATTACTGTGCCCCTGCAGGGTCGACGTGTGGGTAGGCGTGTAAAAGGCAGAGAGACCATTAAAGGATTAAGTGGACTTCCTTACATGTAGGTCTGCTATATTTAAGCCGTGGACCAGTTAGCACTCGGATCTTCTCATTCTGAATGGGGCCTAAGAGTTACTAAAAAAATTCCCGTTCATAACATAAAAAGTGATCTTAATTTTCAATTTCATATTTATATGCATGTTTTAATTTATTCTTCCTATCTTTGTACTAAATGTAAATGCAAACTTTGAGGATCATTTTGGATTTTCTAAAATGTACAAGTATAATTGCTGGATCTCCACTTATAATTTTATCATTATTTTCGATACAGATTAAAGGCCTAGTCTATAGTAAGTTTTACGTAAATTGGTGGACTATTCTATACCTAGCAATACTTCACATAAATCAGCATTTGGGTTTTCATCTGATGGACCTGCTTTTCTCTTTCCCATTATTTCAAAAATGTAGTAAAACACTGGAAATGCAGCAACCGGTGGAACTAGATAGATAGATATAAACAAAGCAGGCTGCGGCATGAAAGTAGACGCAGAACTGGGTCAAATTGTCCCATAATCCTTTGCGGGCACGCCTGAATCGATTTCATAAAAATAATTTTAGTTAAATTTTACTATTTGAGGGCTGAAACAGTAGATATTAACCATCAATCGAATAATTAAGGATACTTTACTTTTTATTAAAATAAGATTGTTTGGTGGAAGGCGTGGCTTTCATCAACCGGAAGTAAAATCTGAGGTCAGAGGTCACTGTGTATATACAAAAGGACGTGGCATAGCTATTTACCACACTTGGGCTGTCTAAAACCGAAGTGACAGAGAAGATGTGTGGTAAGTATATGGGACAATGTTCTGAGTGTTACGAGGTATAGTAGATCAGTGGTATATACGACAGGATAAGCTTTGACCAGATATATTTTCCACATTCACTGACGTAGAGTAAGCATCCATTAGCTTTTGGTTATATTCGATTGCCTGGTTGTGGTAAATGCGATCGAAATGTTGTCACTAAGATAAACACGCATGAAGTTGAAAACGAAACGAAATGATGCAGACCTGTGTATTTCTCGGAGCAGTTGATATCGTCAGTAGTGATGTCTACATGAAATATAAACGTTAAATGTACAGGGAACAGAATTATTTATTGTAGAAACAACATTTAATTCGATATTAATGAGTTTTTAATGAACACGGATATGAGGCAACTTCCCTGTATTAAGCAATGATCTTGGTAAACAGTTATGCAGAAAGCATTTGATAGTATCTTTTAAAGAGACAAGTCAGAAAGTTGGGATTGCCCCATTGCTTCTAAGACTTGCCAAAATCATATTTCAGCATGAAAAGATGTAATTTAGTAAGAGATCGAGAAAATACAGCGATTTCTCATTGAAAGGGTTCGAGTCCTTTTGACTGCCAGTCACTGGATAAGGTCTCTCTTCTTAAAATCACAAATAGTTTTTCTTCTTCTTCTTTTTCTTCTTCTTCTTCTTCTTCTTCTTATTATTATTTATAATTATTTAATTTCAGTAGTTTTAATTTAATATTTGTAGCTCTTGAAAAATAAAAAATTTACATTTTTGACATATTCATGCCTTTTAAATTATGAATTAAGAAATTAAAATCCTCAAATGTGAGATAAATGATTTTTGAACTTGAAATTAATCAAGTTCAGATTTTATTTAATCTTGCTACTTTACAACATTAAAACAGATACCTGCCTGAATGAAAAGCAGACCTTGATAAACTTTTAACAAAAAGTAATTTTCATGTTAAACATATTCAGGTAGATGCCCTCACTTAGCAAGGGTGTGAATAGAAAATACCTAATGAAATCTGCTAATGTGTCACATTGTAAATGTTAATAGGCTTACGGGCAATTATGATATGCATATGGTCTTAGCAAACTGCCGCGAAGTAAATTTCTTATAAAATAGTGCTGTTTTGATTGTGAAATTTTGTTATTTGCATCCATGCACTAGCTGTATATGAGAGGTGTTAAGTAAAGTCTGTACTTAGTGTCTACACATTCTTGATAGGGGGTTGTTTTCAAGCTGCCCCAGATTTAAATTAATCCACTGCTCTATTTGCCTTATTTAAGATCTGTCACATTTGTATGTGGTCAGTAAAGAAAATAATACCTTTATATTGTTAAACTTAAATAAGGTGAGCAGTGTGCTATGTATACCTATGTTCTTGTCCACCGTACTCCCACTGTCTGCTACTCAAATTATATGCCAGACAAGTGGCTTTTGTATTGGAAGAAGCCAGCTCAATGGCCCAAAGTCAGCGTTCATGACGACAACCATTAAGTAGGCTCATCAGGGGACTTAACAGACAGATTCATCACTCTGCCTTGGTTAGGCCGTTAATCAGTGGTCTCATCTTATCATGGGGTTGTGAACATAACCCCTAATCAAGGTTTTACTCGTGTATTAGGAACAGTTGAGGACAACTTTGATAATTTTAGTTATGTGTATCAGGGAAGGATGGTTGTAAATGCCCTCATGTTTCTTCTTTTAAAGATGGGTTCACTCTAGCATAGAAAATTTTAGCTAAATGCTTAATATAATATTCTAATTTGGTTTAAGACAGTTAAAATTGATTTAAAAAATTGCTTTTTATCTCATTTAAGCACATTCACTGAAATCTGAAGCCTAAAAAAAAAGTAAAAAAAGTTTCCCCCTTGATATTAAAGTACAGAAATCTGTTTAGATACCATGTGCGACAATCTCTGTATGTAGCACATGTGAGAGCAAGAGGGTCTAGCCCAGTCATATTGTCGACAATATGCAAAGAGATGCGCACCTCTCCCAGGTGTCATGTTGTCTCCATGGCAATAAATGGCTTGCTGCATGAAATGGGCTGTCTGCTAATTTGCTGTTTTGGCAGTCTTTTCATCTGTTTAGGATGGAAATTTCAAGATATCCTTTATCACATGCAATTAATTATGTACATAGTATAATTAGTGTATGTGGTGCATCAGTTATCAGTTAATTCTTTTAAAATTGTGTACTAGTAGTTGCAATCTTTCCTGTAAGGAAATGTTGGATAATAACCCCAGCAAGTTCTTTTTGAACTTGATGCCACTGTGTATATATCTATATATATGAAGCTGTTAACATTCTCTCACTGTGATTCCACACAATGAAGAACTTCACCTCTGTCTACCTTATTTATCTATTTAATGGCTGCTCAACCAGTAAAGCATTTTTGATTTTGCTCCTCCATCTCATTTTGGTAACGTTTTTATTTTACGGACAGTGTTTAAGGGTCTTAAGGATCCACTGATCAAATATGGCGACCCACTAAAAAGCTTGATGCTGAATAGATTTCCTGCGGGGATTACGCAACAAGCATTCAAATGGGTTGGCCATATTTGACCTGCGGATCCATTAGTCCCCTGTTCTGAATGAGGCCTAAGTTGAATTTCATAGAAAACAAGCTGCCATTTCACAGGTTTGCAACTTTTCTTTTACCAGATGCCCAAAGTAATTTTCTCACCTCAATTATATTGTTGTAAGTCGGGTAAAAAGACACCTTACAATTCTGTGTTGAATGGCAATTTTGGAAGAGCCATCTTTTCAATTCCTTCCTCCTTAATTTAAGAGCAGAAACTTAATTATTGTGCAAAAGAATGCAATGATTGCTTGAGGGCTGGGCTGTCACCAATAAATCTCTAATGATTATAGTTTCTAACACAGGTGTTTAAGAAGCCACATATTACCTTTTCTTCCTTCAGCTTTCTTTGAACAACACTCACTTGTCAGCTTATTCATTCCTGTGTTGTATAATATATAATAGAATTACTGTCTGCAGGAGGATTCTGGCTCTTGCCTTACTTTTTGATTATGTAGCTTCCATAGGACCTAGTAAATGATGGCCCTAAGGATGTCTCATTAAATGTGTTACTCCAACTTTTAATTATATAACTTTTAATATCCTTGCCAAAGAGTTTTTGCCTACTTGTATGTTTGTTTGTCAGTAAACAGTCTATGGAAGGATGGATTTTGTTAAAATTTTTAAGATGGGCCTGAAATAGGTTACATTAAGATTTTGATGGTGATTAATTAATGATAAATAAATAATTGTGAAAATTGATCTGTCTTGGCAGAGGTCTGTGCTCTATGAGTGTTTTTCTAGTTTTATGTGGTTTGTGTCTCAGTTAGTCAATACACAGTTGTTATCTTAAAATATAGATTTGTTGATGAAATTGAGTAAGAATCTTGTGATTCCAATTACTGTCAACTCTAAAAGTTTTTGGAAAAAAGAACAAAAAGGTGAGACCACAAGTTGTCAGGTTAAAGTTCACAAATCAGTGGCAGTTGTAAATACTTAGGTAAAGAAAATTAAGAAAAAGCTGAGAAGATTAAGAAGTAACAGAATGCACAGTTATTCCGTTTCACCTGATAAGGTACTTTAAGACCTGGCAGTGGCTTGGTCTTAGAACTGTTTATGTGTTTATGCTTCCTTGACACCATCACAATTGAACACCACAATTCCTGTAGGCTGTAGCATTTAATTCACATAAAATTGTATAACAAATGAAGTACTAGTAGGTACAAAGCTGAATACAAATTCTTTCCTTATAAAGAATGAGCTTCCAAAAATAGCATATGCAGTGCAATTTGCTTGAAAAAATGCAGACAAATGGTCCCTTTAAGTTTCAAGTAGATAGTGAATTTGCAGTTGACCAGGTAGAAAATCACAAAACAGACACCCTTAATGGGTATTTAATCGACTTGTGTTCCTGAGTTGGGTACTAAAACTTAGCAAAAACTGTTCAACCCTATTGCCTATTACTGCCAACAAATTTTACTAGTGCCTGCTTTAGCATTGGATGACTTTATCATTCGAGTTTTTAAAAAATTTCTTCTGATTCATAAGCAGGGGACATCCTCATGATGTCCACTCATGCTTCAGTTCTGCTTTCAAAAATTTCAAAATTCATGACTCATGTACATTGATTCTAAGAACTGGTGTATGTCATTTACAACATTAAAGATGATATTCTTTGCCAGTCGTAGAAACGAGTCAATGTTTTTAACCCTTTAGAAAGATATACATTGGGGATAGAGAGTAAATGTATTCCCTCTGGAATGTCATTCAACACCTGGAGATAAGGGCACATGGATAACTTGTGCAAAATCGAAAACACACTTCTTGTTTTTAAAGTGCCAATGCCATTTTACACAAAAGAAAAACCCCAATTAAGGTTTGAATGGATAAATTATGGTATTTGCTTTTAGTTCTTATAATTAAAAAACAAGTAACACCTTTACTTTTTTGTTACCCTTTATAAAGAATGAGATACTTAGCAATTTCATTTGTAAGTAGGAGCATTTTTTGTTGCAAAGTTTGTCTCGTTGAGTTTCATAGTTGACGAAGGCAATAACAGACTTTATACTGAAGTCAGACCTTCTCATTTTCCTAATATACACTACTTAATTTAATGATATATCTCTCAATATATATGGTGTTCTTCCAAATTCCATCCGATCAAGATATGTGACTATAAACAATATTTATATGTGAGAATGTCATTTACTACTCTTTCCAAGTCTGTTATTCCATTACCATTATAGAACAATTCACAGTAGTAATTTTTAATCTTCTATAGTAACTAAATATGATAAATGGGACTTTCTTTATTTATAAAAGGAGGGTATTGTTTGAATTACTTATTGAGAAGATAAAAAGCATTCTGTTGATACTCACACTGTTGTTCAATTTTAACATCACACAGGAAAAAAAGTAGCAGCTAAATGAAAGTACCTAGCTGTTTTGTGTGCAGTATTTGATATTGCATGTCAACCTGAAATACACTTCTGTCTAATAAGTCCTGAGTAACTAAACTTGATATGTATTGTGCCATTGTCTATGCAGATCTGTCGCATCTTCCATTTATCTCCTCTGAAGCTATTCTACACAGAACAACCTGCCTTTTGATTATATTTTAGTAGCCTGTAATAATCACACAGGTATTAGCTCCTAGGCCATTATTTAACAGATATATATCTTCTTATCTCTTGAGTAGCCTGTAACTTGGGTTGTTTAAATTTTGAGTTACGGCATCTGTTTTATTACCCTGTTATTTTCACTGTTGTTATCTCCCTTAATCAAATATTCATTTTCTACTCCCACATTTTCATTGCAGTTCTATGTCTAAGTAAATTGTGTATGTAAAGACAGTTCTTAATGAATGTAACTCACAGATTCTGGACCCTTGAAAAAATGTTTTATCACATCAAACTCACAAAGCATTTTTTACCACTAGTAATGACTGACACTTCATGGTCAATTATCTAAAACATATTTACATAAAGCCTTCTCTCACATCAAAAATATTTTAAATATAATATTTTCAAAATTTTCAAAATTTTACATTTAAATTTTCTTTTAGTGCTTTTATCATTAACTTGGCTGGTAATTGCTATAGAATGGCAGTTTATATTTCCATTGAAAAAAAACTTAATTGATGAATTCAAATTTAAGTGTAGGTGGCTGTAAATAACATTCCAGTAACATCCAGGATATCAGTGTTTGATTAAGATGATTTGGCTGTTGGTTCAATTTGCCCTACCTAATAAATACTTCATCATTTTGTTTGCTGGTATTATGTATTACTTTGCATGTAATGACTGTGCTATAACATACCTAACCTACGTCACTGGAAGTTTCTGTAGACATAGGGAAAAAGGGATTCAGATATGACGTTAATGCCATAATTATTTCTAGAGCTATAAATCTAGGACAGACATGTTCCTGAATTGTAGGAAGTAGCTCTTGAATTTGTTATCATGCCATTTCCAAAATTTGGGTGCATTTCTGATAAAGCCTGTATGTTTTGGAACATTCTTTAGTTCTAGATGTTTGTTTTATAAACTACACATAATATGAACTTAGAACATCAGCAGTTTGCTCTACATTCCAAGTTCTAAAAGCCATATATACAGTAAGTGTCTTCCTCTTGCACAGAAACTAATACAACTAAAACTTCACGTAGCAGGCTTGTAAAATAATGTGTCTGGTACGAGATTCCTGAATGACAAAGATAGAATCCCTCAGGTAGATAAATGCATCCTTGCACTTTGTCTGTTTTATTTGCATAAAGTGCTTGAATATGTAGTCAAAGTCAGATTTAATCATTTCATCTGTATTGAGATAATTTTGAGGGATAACATAATCTACATTTGATGTTATCTTATAGTTATTTTTCAAAATTTATTCAGGAATCTTTGCCTACCTGAACTACCTTGTGCCGGCCAAGAGAGAGGAGATCCTGAGGATCCTGATCAAGGGACTTCAGAGATTGGAATACAGGGGATATGACTCAGCAGGTCAGTGGATTTGAAGTGGCAATTCGTGGGTATAAAATCACAAAGGATATTGCTAGTATCTATTACAATTTTCAGTACTTTCTTGACCTGCATAAGTATTCTAAACTCACCAACTCTATTGTTCTGCCCCCTCCCCCCTTCAAATCTAATACATGGATTCTAAAAAAGGTAACTGTATTTTTTATTTAAAGTTCATTTTGCCTTTGTGTACATAATGAAATTTATGCATGGATGTAAACACTTTTTAAGTTTGTTGACTTAAAAACATCAGTCTCTTGTTTTTACAGGTGTTGCTATTGATAGCAGCAACAATGCTGAAGATTCTGTTTCTGACATTGCCATCATCAAGAAACGTGGCAAGGTGAAGGCACTGGAAGAAGAAATTGCTGGTAAAATATTTCATTCTTTCAGCATTCTATCTAGCATCAGGATATATACCTTCTGTCACAATTTTTGTCTCCGTTCTTATTAACCTTACTGATTGACAGTTCTGATTACCAAATTGATTAAAATTTTCATTACAGTATATATTATATTAGTGTTGNTAATATAATATAATATAATATAATATATATATATACTGTATATTTTTTATTTCTTTTCTCATTTTTACATTCAAGAGGGATTGCAAAACATTCTCAGTAAGTGATGTCTATTAATCATATAATGTCAAAAGTGTGTCATGAAAAAATATTTGTAAAACAACAAACAAAAAATGTGAGTAAAAACAAGAAAAAGTAAAAATTTCAGTTAAAGGGAATACTAGATGTGGATAAAACTAAATATTTCACGACTGTTTTAAACTGGTCCTCAACATTACAAATTGGAGACAGCATGCTTCTGTTTTCAATCACATGAAAAATGGGATGTTTATACCTTACCAGTCTTTTAGCTTCTGTTCCATTTTTCACTCTCGTTGGATGCTTTGAAAGTACTGATGCAGCTTTTCGATAAGCATTAAACTTATGCATCTGCCTTGTAACATTTTTCTCATAGTCAGCAAGCTCTGTAAAATGTAACTTAAATTACAAAAAAAAAAGGGCATTGTTCCCATGATGATTGATTTTTAATGTGAGGCCTATTTCATTTATTTACACCAATATAAATATTCCATGTATATGACATATAATCAGCCAAAAGGTTAACTGAATTCAATATGTAGCCACACTGATCAGATGGAGTAATCCCATTCATTTATCCATTACACTAACCAAACTTGTGGATATGAGTGGTCCAGACTCGACTCTTAAGATACAAAATAGGATTGACAGCCTGAATATGGGGCTATTCAGAATAGAAGATTCGAGTATCATCTAGTCCAAGGCTCAAATATGGCGGACCTTACATGAAAGGAAGATCGCTTAATCCTGTAATGGACTCTCTGCCTCTCACATTGCCTCCCCATGCATCTGGTCGAATGGAGTCAACATTTAATTACTGTGCCCCTGCAGGGTCGACGTGTGGGTAGGCATGTAAAATGCAGAGAGACTATTAAAGGATTAAGTGGACTTCCTTACATGTAGGTCCGCTATATTTAAGCCGTGGACCAGTTAGCACTCGGATCTTCTCATTCTGAATGGGGCCTAAGAGTTACTAAAAAATTCCCGTTCATAACATAAAAAGTGATCTTAATTTTCAATTTCATATTTATATGCATGTTTTAATTTATTCTTCCTATCTTTGTACTAAATGTAAATGCACACTTTGAGGATCATTTTGGATTTTCTAAAATGTACAAGTATAATTGCTGGATCTCCACTTATAATTTTATCATTATCATTTTCGATACAGATTAAAGGCTTAGTCTATAGTAAGTTTTACGTAAATTGGTGGACTATTCTATACCTAGCAATACTTCACATAAATCAGCATTTGGGTTTTCATCTGATGGACCGGCTTTTCTCTTTCCCATTATTTCAAAAATGTAGTAAAACACTGGAAATGCAGCAACCGGTTGAACTAGATGTAAACAAAGCAGGCTGCGGCATGAAAGTAGACGCAGAACTGGGTCAAATTGTCCCATAATCCTTTGCGGCACGCCTGAATCGATTTCATAAAAATAATTTTAGTTAAATTTTACTATTTGAGGGCTGAAACAGTAGATATTAACCATCAATCGAATAATTAAGGATACCTTACTTTTTATTAAAATCAGATTGTTTGCTGGAAGGCGTGGCTTTCATCAACCGGAAGTAAAATCTGAGGTCAGAGGTCACTGTGTATATACAAAAGGACGTGGCATAGCTATTTACCACACTTGGGCTGTCTTAAACCGAAGTGACAGAGAAGATGTGTGGTAAGTATGTGGGACGATGTTCAGAGTATTACGAGGCGTAGCAGATCAGTGGTATATACGACAGGATAAGCTTTGACCAGATATATTTTCCACATTCACTGACGTAGAGTAAGCATCCATTAGCTTTTGGTTATTCGATTGCCTGGTAGTGGTAAATGCGATCGAATTGTTGTCACTAAGATAAACACGCATGAAGTTGAAAACGAAACGAAATGATGCAGACCTGTGTATTTCTCGGAGCAGTTGATATCGTCAGTGGTGATGTCTACGTGAAATATAAACGTTAAATGTACAGGGAACAGAATTATTTATTGTAGAAACAACATTTAATTCGATATTAATGAGTTTTTAATGAACACGGATATGAGGCAACTTCCCTGTATTAAGCAATGATCTTGGTAAACAGTTATGCAGAAAGCATTTGATAATATCTTTTAAAGAGACAAGTCAGAAAGTTGGGATTGCCCCATTGCTTCTAAGACTTGCCAAAATCATATTTCAGCATGAAAAGATGTAATTTAGTAAGAGAGAAAATACAGCGATTTCTTATTGAAAGGGTTCGAGTCCTTTTGACTGCCAGTCACTGGATAAGGTCTCTCTTCTTGAAATCATAAATAGTTTTTCTTCTTCTTCTTTTTCTTCTTCTTCTTCGTCTTAATATTATTTATAATTATTTAATTTCAGTAGTTTTAATTTCATATTTGTAGCTCTTGAAAAATAAAATTTTTACATTTTTGACATATTCATGCCTTTTAAATTATGAATTAAGAAATTAAAATCCTCAAATGTGAGATAAATGATTTTTGAACTTGCAGTTAATCAAGTTCAGATTTTATTTAATCTTGCTACTTTACAACATAAGACATTAAAACAGATACCTGCCAGAGTGAAAAGCAGACCTTGATAAACTTTTAACAAAAAGTAATCTTCATGTTAAATATATTCAGGTAGATGCCTTCACTTAGCAAGGATGTGAATAGAAAATACCTAATGAAATCTGCTAATGTGTCACATTGTAAATGTTAATAGGCTTACAGGCGATTATGATGTGCATATGGTCTTAGCAAACTGCCGTGAAGTAAACTTCTTATAAAATAGTGCTGTTTTGATTGTGAAATTTTGTTATTTGCATCCATGCACTAGCTGTATATGAGAGGTGTTAAGTAATGTCTGTACTTAGTGTCCACACATTCTTGATAGGGGGTTGTTTTCAAGCTGTCCCAGATTTAAATTAATCCACTGTTCTATTTGCCTTATTTAAGATCTGTCACATTTGTATGTGGTCAGTAAAGAAAATAATACCTTTATATTGTTAAACTTAAATAAGGTGAGCAGTGTGCTATGTATACCTATGTTCATGTCCACCGTACTCCTACTGTCTGCTACTCAAATTATATGCCAGACAAGTGGCTTTTGTATTGGAAGAAGCTAGCTCAATGGCCCAAAGTCAGTGTTCATGACGACAACCATTAAGTAGGCTCATCAGGGGACTTAACAGACAGATTCATCACTCTGCCTAGGTTAGGCTGTTAATCAGTGGTCTCATCTTATCATGGGGTTGTGAACATAACCCCTAATCAAGGTTTTACTCGTGTATTAGGAACAGTTGAGGACAACTTTGATAATTTTAGTTATGTGTATCAGGGAAGGATGGTTGTAAGTGCCCTCATGTTTCTTCTTTTAAAGATGGGTTCACTCTAGCATAGAAAATTTTAGCTAAATGCTTAATATATATCCTAATTTGGTTTAAGACAGTTAAAACTGATTTCAAAAATTGCTTTTTATCTCATTTAAGCACATTCACTGAAATCTGATGCCCATCAAAAAGTTTCCCCCTTGATATTAAAGTACAGAAATCTGTTTAGATAACATGTGCGACAATCTCTGTATGTAGCACATGTGAGAGCAAGAGGGTCTAGCCCAGTCATTTTGTCTACAATATGCAAAGAGATGCGCACCTTTCCCAGGTGTCATGTTGTCTCCATGGCAATAAATGGCTTGCTGCATGAAATGGGCTGTCTGCTAATTTGCCGTCTTGGCAGTCTTTTCATCTGTTTAGGATGGAAATTTCAAGATATCCTTTATCACATGCAATTAATTATGTACATAGTATAATAAGTGTATGTGTTGCATCAGTTACTTCTTTTAAAATTGTGTACTAGTAGTTGCAATCTTTCCTGTAAGGAAATGTTGGATAATAACCCTAGCAAGTTCTTTTTGAACTTGATGCCACTGTGTGTGTGTGTGTGTGTGTGTGTGTGTGTGTGTGTGTATATGAAGCTGTTAACATTCTCTCACTGTGATTCCACACAATGAAGAACTTCACCTCTGTCTACCTTATTTATCTATTTAATGGCTGCTCAACCAGTAAAAACTTCTGATTTTGCTCCTCCATCTCATTTTGGTAACGTTTTTATTTTACTGACAATGTTTAAGGGGCCCATTTAAAACAGTGGACTAACAGATCCACTGATCAAATATGGCGACCCACTAAAAAGCTTGATGCTGAATAGATTTCCTGCGGGGATTACGCAACAAGCATTCAAGTGGGTTGGTCATATTTGACCTGCGGATCCGTTAGTCCCCTGTTCTGAATGAGGCCTAAGTTGAATTTCTTAGAAAGCCAGCTGCCATTTCACAAGTTTGCAACTTTTCTTTTACCAGATGCCCAAAGTAATTTTCTCACCTCAATTATTGTTGTAAGTCGGGTAAAAAGACACCTTATAATTCTGTGTTGAATGGCAATTTTGGAAGAGCCATCTTTTCAATTCCTTCCTCCTTAATTTAAGAGCAGAAACGTAATTATTGTGCAAAAGAATGCAATGATTGCTTGAGGGCTGGGCTGTCACCAATAAATCTCTAATGATTATAGTTTCTAACACAGGTGTTTAAGAAGCCACATATTACCTTTTCTTCCTTCAGCTTTCTTTGAACAACACTCACATGTCAGCTTATTCATTCCTGTGTTGTATAATATAATAGAATTACTGTCTGCACGAGGATTCTGGCTCTTGCCTTACTTTTTGATTATGTAGCTTCCATAGGACCTTGTAAATGATGGCCCTAAGGATGTCTCATTACTCCAACTTTTAATTATATAACTTTTAATATCCTTGCCAAAGAGTTTTTGCCTACATGTATGTTTGTTTGTCAGTAAACAGTCTATGGAAGGATGGATTTTGTTAAAATTTTTAAGATGGGCCTGAAATAGGTTACATTAAGATTTTGATGGTGATTAATTAATGATAAATAAATAATTGTGAAAATTGATCTGTCTTGGCAGAGGTCTGTGCTCTATGAGTGTTTTTCTAGTTTTATGTGGTTTGTGTCTCAGTTAGCCAATACACAGTTGTTATCTTAAAATATAGATTTGTTGATGAAATTGAGTAAGAATCTTGTGATTCCAATTACTGTCAACTCTAAAAGTTTTTGGAAAAAAGAACAAAAAGGTGAGACCACAAGTTGTCAGGTTAAAGTTCACAAATCAGTGGCAGTTGTAAATACTTAGGTAAAGAAAATTAAGAAAAAGCTGAGAAGATTAAGAAGTAACAGAATGCACAGTTATTCCGTTTCACCTGATAAGTTTCTTTAAGACCTGGCAGTGGCTTGGTCTTAGAACTGTTTATGTGTTTATGCTTCCTTGACACCACCACAATTGAACACCACAATTCCTGTAGGCTGTAGCATTTAATTCACATAAAATTGTATAACAAATGAAGTACTAGTAGGTACAAAGCTGAATACAAATTCTTTCCTTATAAAGAATGAGCTTCCAAAAATAGCATATGCAGTGCAATTTGCTTGAAAAAATGCAGACAAATGGTCCCTTTAAGTTTCAAGTAGATAGTGAATTTGCAGTTGACCAGGTAGAAAATCGCAAAACAGACATGCTTAATGGGTATTTAATCGACTTGTGTTCCTGAGTTGGGTACTAAAACTTAGCAAAAACTGTTCAACCCTATTGCCTATTACTGCCAACAAATTTTACTAGTGCCTGCTTTAGCATTGGACAACTTTCATTCGAGTTTTTGAAAATTTTCTTCTGATTCATAAGCAGGGGACATCCTCATGATGTCCACTCATGCTTCAGTTCTGCTTTCAAAAATTTCAAAATTCATGACTCATGTACAGTGATTCTAAGAACTGTTCTATGTCATTTACAACATTAAAGATGATATTCTTTGCCAGTCGTAGAAACGAGTTAATGTTTTTAGCCCTTTAAAAAGATATACATTGGGGATAGAGAGTAATTTTATTCCCTCTGTTATGTCATTCAACACCTGTATCCCGTTGCTGGAGATAGGGGCACATGGGTAACTTGTGCAAAATTGAATACACACTTTTTGTTTTTAAAGTCCCAATGCCATTTGGAATGTCATTTGCTCCTCTTTCCAAGTCTGTTATTCCATTACCATTATAGAACAATTCACAGTAGTAATTTTTAATCTTCTATAGTAACTAAATATGATAAATGGGACTTTCTTTATTTATAAAAGGAGGGTATTGTTTGGATTACTTATTGAGAAGATAAAAAGCATTCTGTTGATACTCACACTGTTGTTCAATTTTAACATCACACAGGAAAAAAAGTAGCATCTGAATGAAAGTACCTAGCTGTTTTTGTGTGCAGTATTTGATATTGCATGTCAACGTGAAATACACTTCTGTCTAATAAGTCCTAAGTAACTAAACTTGATATGTATTGTGCCATTGTCTTTGCAGATCTGTCACATCTTCCATTTATCTCCTCTGAAGTTATTCTACCCAGAACAACTGCCTTTTGATTATATTTTAGTAACCTGTCATAATCACATAGGTATTAGCTCCTAGGCCATTATTTAACAGATATATATCTTCTTATCTCTTGAGTAGCCTGTAACTTGGGTTGTTTAAATTTTGAGTTACGGCATCCGTTTTATTACCCTGTTATTTTCACTGTTGTTATCTCCCTTAATCAAATATTCATTTTCTACTCCCACATTTTCATTGCAGTTCTAGATCTAAGTATATGTATGTAAAGACAGTTCTTAATGAATGTAACTCACAGATTCTGGACCCTTGAAAAAATGTTTTATCACATCAAACTCACAAAGCATTTTTTACCACTAGTAATGGTCAATTATCTAATACATATTAACATAAAGCCTTCTATCACATCAAAAATATTTTAAATAAATGAATTCAAAATTTTACATTTAAAATTTCTGTTAGTGCTTTTATCATTAACTTGGCTTGTAATTGCTATAGAATGGTAGTTTATATTTCCATTGAAAAAACCTTAATTGATGAATTCAAATTTAAGTGTTGGTGGCTGTAAATAACATTCCAGTAACATCCAGGATATCAGTGTTTGATTAACATGATTTGGCTGTTGGTTTAGTTTGCCCTACCTAATAAATACTTCTCGATATTGTTTGCTGGTATTATATATTAAGTACTTTGTATGTAATGACTGTGCTATAACTTACCTATCCACTGGAAACTTCTGTAGACATAGGGAAAAAGGGATTCAGATCTGACGTTAATGCCATATTTATTTCTAGAGCTATAAATCTAGGACAGACTTGTTCCTGAATTGTAGGAAGTAGCTCTTGAATTTGTTATCATGCCATTTCCAAAATTTGGGTGCATTTCTGACAACGCCTGTATGTTTTGGAACATTTTTTAGTTTTAGATGTTTGGTTTATAAACTACACATATAATGAACTTAGATCATCAGCAATTTGCTCTACATTCCAAGTTCTAAAAGCCATATATAAGTGTCTTCCTCTTGCACAGAAACTAATACAACTAAAACTTCACGCAGCAGGCTTGTAAAATAATGTGTCTGGTACGAGATTCCTGAATGACAAAGATAGAATCCCTCGGTTAGATAAATGCATCCTTGCACTTTGTCTGTTTTATTTCCATTAAGTGCTTGAATATGTAGTCAAAGTCAGATTTAATCATTGCATCTGAGATAATTTTGAGGTATAATATTATATAATCTACATTTAATGTTATCTTATAGTTATTTTTCAAAATTTATTCAGGAATCTTTGCCTACCTGAACTACCTTGTGCCGGCCAAGAGAGAGGAGATCCTGAGGATCCTGATCAAGGGACTTCAGAGATTGGAATACAGGGGATATGATTCAGCAGGTCAGTGGATTTGAAATGGCAATTCGTGGGTATAAAATGACAAAGGATATTGCTAGTATCTATTACAATTTTCAGTACTTTCTTGACCTGCATAAGTATTCTAAACTCACCAACTGTATTGTTCTGCCCCACCCCCCTTCAAATCTAATTCATGGATTCTAAAAAAGGTAACTGTATTTTTTATTTAAAGTTCATTTTGCCTTTGTGTAATGGAATTTATGCATGGATGTAAACACTCTAAGTGTGTTGACTTAAAAACATCAGTCTCTTGTATTTACAGGTGTTGCTATTGATAGCAGCAACAATGCTGAAGATTCTGTTTCTGACATTGCCATCATCAAGAAACGTGGCAAGGTGAAGGCACTGGAAGAAGAAATTGCTGGTAAAATATTTCATTCTTTCAGCATTCTATCTAGCATCAGGATATATACCTTCTGTCACAATTTTTGTCTTTGTTTTTATTAACCTTACTGATTGACAGTTCTGATTACCAAACTGATTGAAATTTTCATTACAGTTTATATTATATTAGTAATGTTATTTTATCTCTATAGCTTCTACCCAAAGTTTGGATTTTGACCGTGAATTTAACTGCCATATTGGAATTGCTCATACTCGCTGGGCTACTCATGGAGAACCCAGTGCTTGCAACAGTCATCCACAAAGATCTGATCCCAATAATGGTATGTTAATATAGATTTCACTATTTCTCTCACTAAAGTGACTTTCTAAAGGTCTGAATATGGTTAATTATTTTTGCGAATTGGAGTTTTGTGTAGCTATAACTATGAGAATAGTTTATGCAGAAATTGGTTGACAATATTGTTTTATTGGCATAGAAAAAAATAGAATAAGACCTAACTGGTATGCATAAGAATAAAATTTTAATGCTTATCACCAATAATTATTTATTTTTGAGTGTCATATTTATTCTCATTTTTAGAATTTGTTGTTATCCACAATGGCATCATTACCAACTACAAGGACATCAAAACCTTCCTGGTAAGCCTATCTAATGAATTTAACTGAGGAAATATTTTGGTATCCCAGGTATACTTGTTTGTTTTAGCATTTAATGGTACCTGCAGAAGATAAAAAGAAGCATTTGACTTAGTTTTCTTTTCTTTTTTTTTTCCTGTTTTACAAATGGGTGACGTGATTAAATGCAGAAGTCTGTTTGTCCTGAAACTGAATTCTCCTTCATATATTATTAAGTCTATAGGTTGAAAATATGAATTATAAGAGCATTTTTTACTGGATCATATATCAGAATGCAATTTTTATAGTGGAAATTATTTTGTTTTAAGACAATCTAGGCAATTTAATAAATATTAAGGGGTAAATATTGTACATAAGATAATATATCTTTGTGCCTGAGACAAGCACTGAGACTATTTGCCAAGCCAATATGAGAAATATCAAACCACTATTCAACCAATAAATGAACATTTCTCTTGTTCTTTCCATTGCAGGAAAAGAAAGGCCATGTGTTTGAGTCAGAGACAGACACTGAGACTATTGCCAAGCTAATTAAACACATTTATGATACCAAGAATGAGGTGAACTTCAGACAGCTGGTAGAGGCGGTCATCCAACAGCTGGTATGTGTTCAGCTAATTGTAAAAAAAAAAAATACAATCTCACACAGCTAAGGGAAAATGACAAGCTTTTTTTAATCAAAGATATTTTGTTTCCATCGATTTGGACATTTCTTATATGTTTTGAAGCAATATAGGTCAGTTTTAACATCCTGGTTCATAACAGGTTCAATATTTATTGGTTCAAACCAGGAAGTTAAATACACTTTAAAATGCTGTAAGTCGATCAAAACTTTGATTAATGCAGTTTACGTGTGCTACAGTGCTCTCATTATTTTCAAAGGCTATTCAGAAGAAACAATAAATCAATGGTTTTTCAACATGAAAGTAACCTTTATTATTATACCAGTTTTAACCCTTGTTTCACATCAGACATTCTTGTTAAAACTGGCTCAGTGATAATTCTTAGTGTATAGTTCTTAGTCATTTACCAAAAGTCTAGATCTTATTACACAGAATTAGCTGTGCTATTTTTGCATTTTAGATATTGATGGACCCAGAACATCACTGTTTAATATTTATAATCCATTTGATAAATGATATCATTGTCTTGAGAATATTAATATGATTTCAATATTAATGACATGATTGAAAGAGGAATATTTCTGTGGAAATTATTTTGTTTCTACATACATTGCATTATTTGTTTGAGGGGAATTCATTTTTCTTTTTATTTATTTCTAGGAAGGGGCATTTTCCCTTGTCTTCAAAAGCAAGCATTTCCCTGGGGAGTGTGTTGCCACAAGGTAAGTACAGGCATGCAATGGGCTTGAGAATCAACTAAAAAACATTTCCTATAGTACATGTCGTGGTTGGGTTTGTAGCACTTTTGAATCTCTTGGCTTAAAATGGTCTCCAAATGACTGTTAGTGAAAAATAAACATGGTACTTGGAAGAGTTGGTCACAGGTGTAGTGCCAGAGTATAAGTTTTTACATTTCAGAGGTCGTTTATACCTCAAGGACACAAAGAGAATGCATCATTCTTTATTTGATACTTTGAGATAATGTTTAGTCTTGGATATATATGTCTCATAAATGCCAACTTTACTTGTAAATAAAACCCATTGCAGGAGAGGCAGCCCGTTGCTTATTGGTGTTAAGACCAGATATAAGTTATCTGCTGATCATTTCCCAGTGTGCTACAGCAAAGGTAAGAAGTGTGCATGAAACTTGGTGTATGTTAACAGCATAATGATATATTCACAACTCTCCGTACATTTACAGTTGTTTTTATTTTTAAACACAACTGTATTCAATGTAATTGTGAATGTTAACTTTACAAGGATCTTATTTATTGATTATGATAGTCAAAATCAACGGTAAGATGCATTGTAGGTATGCAACTAAATCCCTGCTAAACTACCCCCAGTTACAGGGATAATCTGCTCATTTTCACTTTCCGGTTGGTATAAATTGTTTACTTTCATTTAGAGTTGAAATTCAAGTTATAGCAGTAAAATGATGTAACATGGTTGGGATAGCACAATTATGCAATGGATATTTTTCACTTGTTGATATTTCTCAGATTGTATAACATGCTATCACATCATTATGCATAAAATATATCATTCGGAGCTGTTACAATAGAAACCAACAATCCTGCATTCACTGTGTGACTTCCAATGAGATGGCTTCTTCCTATTATGTCACCTGCATATTTATATATTTGATGTTTTATCCTTTGCTTTTCCCCATATATCTATCACAGTTCTTCTGGACTGTTCTTTTCCTTCCTACAGCTGATCATGACCACAGACCTAACTTGATTCCCACTACATCTGAACCACAAACCAGTGGTAAGAGTTTGTAGGGTCGGAACTTATATTATCTAACCTCCAGAATCCTTTCATATCTTGGGTTTTCTCCACCAGGCCTTGAACTCCCCATGGGAATTGTTATGCATTTGGAACTCGTCATCCAAAATAATTAGAAGTTACAATTTGGCCATCTTGTACTTTGTTCTCGATGCTTTGATTTGAGTCATTAAGATCAAATTTTAAAATCAAGTACTGATTTGAATTTAACTTGGCGTTCCAAATGCTCCGACATTGAATAATACCCCAATGGTCTATTATAACTAAGCTTTATTCTTGTATCATAAATCTTTTAAAGCATAGCAATTTACAGCAGTCTTAATTATAAAATACAGCCAAATTGAGGTGGAGGCTTTTTTTTTTATTCTCATTTTCTGTTGCAATAAATCTTGTTTTCCATAGAAAAAAATAATTTAATAGCAATTTTACTGGTACCCACATCAGTATCGCAAATTGAGTTATTTAGAAGCAAATGCAGTTGGTTATTGCCATTTAAGTTTGTAAAGCACTAACTCAATAGTGGCTGTATTGATTTGTTTGATTAAAAAATCACACCATACTATATAACACACATAGGCATTTCTTTACCTTTGGTCCTTAATAATTCTATAAAATTGGGAAAGCATTGGGCCTAGATGTCATGTCCACATTTCTTTAAGTGGATAACAATTTGATTAACAGACCAACTTCCCTAAGATCTTATATTTTCTTTTTTCACAAACAAAAACTTTAAACTCACCTGAGATGCTCCGATTTATGTTGAACACCTTCATCAGTCAAATGCAAATATAAGATCTTATAACACTTTACCAAACTTATTACAACGTGCTCACTTCTATAACTGTGATATATTGAAAAGGGTTTAATATCATTTTAAAGATATAAAAAATGGCATGCTTACTTGAATTAAATAGCAGAATAGGATATAGGTTAGTTAGAAAATTGGTTTTGAGGGAATCGATGCGTTTTGCTGTGAAATTCAAAGTGAATTAATTTAACAATTGAATACTTAGCGCATGTCATTCCTGAATGGCAAAATATGAATGGGGATATGGTGATTTTGTCAATTTTGCATAATATTTATATTAGTCTCTCATTTTACCTAGTTTAGAAGTCAATCTTATTCTCACGTTGCAAAATATTTATTGTTTCTGTCTATATTTATATGGTGAAGGGTAGAAGTTTTTAAATATAATTCTGTTTAAAACTTCTCATGCCTGTTGATATGATTATATATTTAGAATATTGTTATATTTTGTATTCAAATTTATTATTATAAGCATTATTTGAACACATAAATGTTTTGCTTCGTCTTTTTAATAAGTAGTCGTGCATGTTGTAGTTATTCTATTTTTAGTGTAAAAAGCTCAGCAGTCCTTGTCTGTTTTAAAGATTGTTTCTCTTTAAAAGTTAACTTAGTTCTCATTTATAAGCATGCTCATCGTATGCTGTTTCTTTGTTTGTTAACCTGAATTATTTCTTGTTTTCCATCTATTTCCCCTCTTGTGTTGCTGGTAGATAAAACTAATGAAAAGTCAAAAGGTATATCACCACTAACGTTTTCTACTTTTTTGTGAGTTCTTCTGCATATGTTTTATTATGTTGCTTATGTAGAACAAACCTGCCTTATTTAGTGCATTAATATAATAATTATCTGAAATTTGAAGGTGTGAATTTTTATGGTTTTTAAGGGTCATTCTTTCACCTTTTGAAAATATATATACAAACCTTTATTTGGATGGTACTGTAGATAAAAATTGTGTTTCATTGTCTTGCAAAACAGTTTTCAGTTAAATCATTTATTCAACTAGCACTTTTATCACTGACAAAAGAAACTGGATAATATTCTTTTCTATTTTATGGGAAATGTTTATTAAGGTTGGGTTGTAGGAGAAACTGTTATTTGTGGTTTTTATCTTTATTTACTTTTATTGATATCATATTTATTTTCTATCAGTTCCT